TTGCACTAAAGGATTTGGGTGATTTGCACTATTTCCTTGGAATAGAAGTGAACAAGGTAAATGATGGGTTGCTACTATCTCAAGGAAAGTACACTGCTGACTTGCTTAAGAAAACCAATATGAGTGATTGCAAACCTTTTAACACACCTTTATCAACATCAGAGAAACTCTCTCTACATGAGGGAGATTTACTTGGGTCTAGTGATGCCACACAGTATAGAAGCATAGTAGGGGCTCTGCAATACTTAACTTTGACTAGACCTGATATCTCCTTCTCAGTGAATAAGGTGTGTCAGTTTTTACATGCTCCTACTACAGTTCATTGGGCAACAGTGAAGAGGATTTTAAGATATTTGAAGTATACAGCCAGTCTAGGACTTAAGTTTGAAAAATCAAAGTCTGGTCTTGTTAGTGCTTTTACAGATGCAGATTGGGCTGGATCCCTTGATGACAGGAGATCTACTGGAGGCTTTGCTATTTATCTTGGCTCCAACCTTGTGTCATGGAGTGCAAGAAAACAGGCAACAGTGTCTAGATCAAGCACTGAAGCGGAATACAAAGCACTTGCTAATGTAACTGCAGAATTGATGTGGATATAGACTTTGCTTCAAGAATTGGGCATTGAAACTCCTAGAGCTGCAAAGGTATGGTGTGATAACATGGGAGCTAAACATTTGTCAGCTAATCATGTCTTTCATGTTCAGAAACAATCTCAACATTAGAAGTTTAGATTGAGGGGGAGTGTTAGAGATACTATCCCATGTAACAAACATAGACAAGATGAGGCTTGGCCGGTGGTTTAGATAGTTAGATAAGATCAAGTTTGTTATGTAAACAACCCCAGCCGAGCCTCACAAGTCTATGCATATATATGTACTTACCTGTGCCGATTTGTGCACTAAGTGAAACACGCACCGTTGACCCTAGCGTGAAGGGCGACGTTACTCCAGTTCTCGTGATTTCCTTCACTGAGGAGGGCCAGCGACGAGCGGCGACCTCCGGGAGCGGGCGGCAATGGCGGCGAGGTCGTGCCGGGCGGCGGCGGGCATTGGTCTATGTGCGTTCGGGACGGCTACCGAGCTTCTGCGCAAGCTAAAGGAGGCGAGGGAGAGCGAGGAAGGGGAACGGAAGAGGGCACTACCAAACCGGGACGGGCGCAGGCATGCACGGCCGATGGCACGGGGCGAGCCATCCGGTCTCGGGCCGGGGAAGGGGAGGAAGACGGGCGCCCGGAGTCTCGCGTCACGCGTCCTCGCACGCACCGGTCTCCCCGGTGCTCGGCGGCGGACAGCGACGGCGAGAGCAGAGGGAGGGCGACAATGGCGCGGTGGAGTAGGAGTCTGAAGCGGGCGGGATTGAGATGGGAAGGGGAGCTCGGCTTTGGGCTTTATAGGGGTGGTGAAGTCGGTTTGGGAGGAAACCGACCTAGGCGGTCAAGGAGCGGGATATGGCGGTCGAGCGTGGTCACGGGCGCGACAGAGGAGGCGATGGTGGCTGGAAGGGAAAAAGCAAAAAGGAAAAGGGGGAAGGAGCTTTGCTCCTTGCTGTTTTTGGGTGAGTTGAGGGAGGAGAGAGCGCGTGGGAGAGAGAGGCGCTGCCTCCGCGTCTTGGACGCACGCGCGCTGCGGCGGCAGAGGAGGCGCGGGCGGCTGCGCGGCGCAGGCGGGCTAGGACGGACGGCGACCGAGGGCGGTCAGCCATGCGTGAGCGCGCGCGGGGATGCGAGGGCGCGGCCGGATTCAAACGGCGACGGCGGGAAACCGGCGCTGGGGGGAGAGCTCGACGAGAGAGAGAAATAGAGAGAGCGAGAGAGAGAGAGGGAGAGGGAGAGAGAGAGAGAATCGGGTGAGAGAGAGAGGAAGAGAAGAGAGCGAGCGCTCTCTCTCTCGAGCGTGGCGCACGCGCGACGCACATACGAGGGGAGGAGGGGGAACGGCTGAGAGAGGAGATGGGCCGACGGGAGGGGATCCGGCCTATCCAAAATTAGAAGGACGCAAAACAGACTTCTGCAGAGATATTGAATTGGAGAGAATTGGAGTTTAGGTTTGAATTCAAATTGCATATTTGAACTCAGCGAAATACGGAGGAGCCAAGGAATGGATTCAAGGTGGACTCGGATATTTTGGAATCAGGACAAGTATTTGGCGAGGATTCAAAGGAGGCGATTGACCTTTGGAATAATTGAATCGGAATTGGAATCTTGAGGTGGAGGATTTTTGATCGCGATGAGGGGGAACAACGATGGAGATTGAATTGAGATCTACGGCACGACTTAACTCTCACTCAAAGAACGAAAATTTTCGCAATTAGGATTTTCTCAAACTAGTTTTTAACGTCTCACGAAAAGCGGAGCGTTACACATTGGCACACCTATCATAAACCTACAGTAAGAAATACTGCTAGCATTTGCTTCTAGAATATAAAACTGATCCATGCTCCCTCTCTCCTAAAATAAGTGTACTCCTCTAGTTTAAATTTGAATTAGATGAGTGCACTTATTTTTGAACGGAGAGAGTATTAGAATAAATTACAGTGTGAGTAGTCTTCTATTGCTAAAGTTTCACTTTGGATCACCCTTAAACCAGTCTTTTTACATTAGACCGGGTAACTTTACCATTTCTTCGGTATGGACTACCTAACTCTCCTTACTATTCATTTAGGTGTTTCCCAAATTTTATCCTAAGCTTGTTAGACTCTAAGGCTCATTAAGGTGTCCATAACAACAACATAAAATATAATGCAATACTAGTAATTGAACGAAGTCCTTCCAAATCCACTTTGGCTTTGACTCCCAATCCAATCTATGATTTACCAAATTTGATCGTTAACAATAATATAATTAATTTAAAAGAACTCATGCGGGCTATCATATTTCAAAGGATAAGTACGTTACCAAAATAACTCTCTAAATACTGGGATTAAATTGTTCAAAGGAGGTGCATGTCTTGCAACCTTCGGGCTCGATGTAGTCATACAAACCGTCTCCTCCTGGCACGGAGATTTCACTCGCTCCGACTACAGGACCAACGTCGGCGTTTTCTATTTACGCAACAATCATCACCACAATAAATAACAAAAAATAAAGATAACCCAAACAAATAGTATTACAAAGTGCAACAATGGGTGAAAAGGATTTAAATAAATAATTTTAAAGATTTTTGGAATTTCGGCGAACGACAAACCTATGCCAAAATTAGGGTTGCGTCAACGGGTGCTCAGATTGCAATGAAACTGGCACGGATGGGTTCGGAATAAATCTAGGAGTTTGAAGTAGGTCTCAGATTTTGATTTTGAGGTCAAACGGATGGTCAACTTGATAGGAAAAGAAAAAGGAATTTTCTGATTTATCTTTCAATAGGAAAATCTATTTTTCCTCTTCTTCTCTCGCTCTGCACAGAACTGGCCGGAATCCCACGAACGCCGGCGGTGGAGGAGGCCGGTTTTGGGAGGGATGCCGCCGGTTTTGTGGTCCCCAAGGTGTAGGGACTCCGTTTCCGTGGTCGGCGGTGGCATAGGCGCCGGTGGCGAGGCTGGCGGCGGCGGCCAGAAGCAGGAGGCGGTGGCGGCCATGGCGGCGGTGGTTCCGGCGATCTCCGGCGAGGGAGGCGGGCTTGGTGAGCATAAGAGGAGGGAGGCGGAGCCAAAGGTGGCGGTGGTTGAAGCTAGGGCGGCCTGGAGCAGCGGCGCGCCGTGCGGCTGTCGGCGGCCAAACAGGGCAGTGGCAGCGGGAGGCGGCGCCGGCGGCGTTCCAGTGACGGATTGGAGGGGAAAGGGAGTACTTCGCATGTAGATTCCATTTTTACCTTCAATTTCAGAATATTTTCGAATTATGCGACGAATTTTGGAGCTCTGTTAGTGGCGCCGGTAATAGGGTTTCGGGGATTTTTCCTCCGGTAATGGCGATTGAGTCAGCAGGGGTTGGGGCGGATTTGAGAGGGTGGAAGAGATCAAAGTTGCGGTTCTTGAGCCTTCTAGCTGAGTAAGGAAGGGGATATGATTGCATTCGTCCGTCGATCGTCCTCGTGTGTGCGTGTGGCGTGCGCGGGTTGGGCACGAGGTGGGCGCGAGCGCACGCAAGCGCGGCGTAAGGCGGCACAGGGTTGGCGCGAGGCGGCACGGGCTGGCTCGGGCCTAGCCGAGGAGAAGAAGAAGGAAACAGAGAAAGGAAGGAGAAAGAAAGAAATAGAAAAGGAAAAAAATAAATAGATGGAAAAAAGAGAAAGGTAAAAATAGAGAAATGGAAAATATGGAGAGAAATTAAAATGGTTGGGGTTTGAATTGATGTGGAATTCAGAAGTTTTTTATTTTTGGGATATAATTGAATTTGGATTCAAAGGAATTATTTGACGGGTGAGATGCACTTAGCAACAAATTGTTGGGTGGTCCAAACGGAAAAAATAACTAAGTTACTCGGTTAAAAAGTGAAGAAAAAAGTTATTTGAGAATGTTCAAACTGAAACTTAGCAAATAAAATGTGAACCAAATTATAATTCACTCATCTGGACAGAACTCTATTACACTTGAAAACAAAATAAATTCCTATTTGGCAGCTTTAAAAATGGACGAACAACTTCGGAAACGGGAGTTCTAGCAATCATGCAACAACCCCCTATATATCCAATCCTGCATATCATCATCGTCTTTGCGGGAAATACTAGATTCTTCCATGGACGCTTTTGATTTGGAGCAGTATAAACAGCCGTAGAGGTGGCAATGGCAATTTGGAGGCATATCGGCTTTTTGCGTTGAGTTGTCGTCTTCCCGGACGATGGGCCGCGTCCCAGCCGGCATCCGTGAATTGATTGATTATAACTTATAAGCAGCCTCCTAGGTCTGCGCAACGGCGGCGCAGCTCTCCAACCTTCCATAAAACAACAATCTAATTAATGTGAAATATTTTCTCTGTTACAAAATAAATATAGTTTTGCACGGTTCATATTCAACGTTTAACCATTCGTATTATTTAAAAAAATTTTATGATTAGTGTTTTTATTGTTATTAGACGATAAAACATGTATAGTACTTTACGTGTGACTAATTTTTAAATATATACTTCACGGAGTATATATAAGCATAACCCTACGCTATCTACTGAACCAATTTACAAAAACAGAATGGAGAGAGATTAGAGAACCGTGTGAATTAGCACAGATAAGACTTCTTATACAAGAGATGACATGCCTAAATATATCACGCTACCAACTTCCTCCCTCTCGTTTCAGGGAGACGACGAGAGAAGCTGCGGCTAAGCTGGTGCCGCCACCTTTCACATGGAAGCCGCCGCTCCCGAGATAGAGAGGTGCGACGCCGGCGACGTGGAGTCGGACCACGACGGCGCCGCCGCCGCCGCCGAGCGCGTGCCGCCGTGGCGCGAGCAGGTGACGGCGCGGGGCATGGTGGCGGCGCTGCTCATCGGATTCGTCTACACCGTCATCATCATGAAGCTGGCGCTCACCACGGGGATCATCCCCACGCTCAACGTCTCCGCCGCGCTCCTCGCCTTCCTCGCGCTCCGCGGCTGGACGCGCGCGCCCGCCCTCCTCCTCCCCGGCGGCGGCGCCGCCTCCTCCTCCTCCCGGCGCCGCCCCTTCACCCGCCAGGAGAACACCGTTGTCCAGACCTGCGCCGTCGCCTGCTACACCATGGGATTCGGCGGTGCGCGCCCCGCTACTACTTCCTGTTTGATTTCTCTCCCCAAGTCTTTCTTAATTTGTTCTTGCGATGGCGCCTGTATATAAAATTGGGGGATATCGTGCGCGCAGGTGGGTTCGGGTCGTCGCTGCTGGCTCTGAACAGGAAGACGTACGAGTTGGCCGGGGTGAGCACGCCGGGCAACTCGCCGGGGAGCTACAAGGAGCCCGGGGTCGGGTGGATGACCGGATTCCTGTTTGCGATTAGCTTCGTTGGGCTCCTTAACTTGCTTCCACTCAGAAAGGTGTGTACTTTGCCCACAATTTTTGTTCCGTTGGTACTGAATATGCAATGGATTAAATTAGACCTGTCCCTGCAAATTCAGGACTCTCTGGAGTTCCTGCTATTATGTTCGTTAATTGTTGTGATTTGCTATCTTTCAGTGAACTGTTTTTTTCTCTCAGTTTTGTTTCGGATTTTTGGAGAATATAGCTCAGTTGTTGCATGTGAAATCTGTGCTATATTCTCAGTTTTGTGCTGATATTAAAAATTGTGAACTCACTCCTATTTTAAGATGATATTTTACATAAACAATCTGTTGTTACATTTGTAAATTTGTCTGATCCCAGTATACGGATAGGTCATGTTTTCAAGAAAGACTAGGAAGTTTAAGTTACCCATCAGTCTACCACTATCTGTTTTACTTTGTTAGGTTCTTGATCTGCTTTATCTTGCTAACCTTTAAGGCTTTAACTAGAACTACTTGTTCAGACTCCAGAGTAATGCACATCGTGTGCATGGCATGGAAACCCAACTAACCTGCAACAGTTCAACACCAATTGGGAGTTCTACATAGTACACATCCTAATATTTGGTATGCGGCATTACATTTCCATTATCCTTAACCAACAAGTTGACTAAAGTGCTAAAACGAAATGAACTTTTTTGAGACAAATAAAATGTCATAGACTAAATGAGACAACTGTACACACGAATTCCCTCTAGATACTCTTCTTCAAGTCTAAAAAATTTGTCATTACAATCTGTAGTTTGAAGACAGAAACCAGTTTTCTTTGCATTTGTCTGTCCCACCTAATGATGTGCATGACGTTTTCAGGCTTTGATCATAGATTATAAGTTAACCTATCCAAGTGGGACTGCAACTGCTGTTCTTATAAACGGATTCCATACCCCTCAAGGAGAAAATAGTGCAAAGTATGGTCCAGGTCTCACTTGTGCTAAATACATCATCGCAGTTCGTGATATGAATTATTAATTCTACTTTTCATGCCAGGAAGCAAGTCCGCGGATTTCTGAATTGCTTTGGGATCAGCCTCTTATGGAGCTTCTTCCAGTGGTTCTACACTGGTGGAGAGAGTTGTGGGTTTCTTCAATTCCCTACCTTTGGTCTAAAGGCTTGGAAACAAACGTATGCATTATTGGTCACCCATTGTTTGTACCCCTACTTTATGCATAATTGCATATTCGTCAGGCAGCCAGATTCTCCTAACTACCAATTTTTTTTGCTGCAGGTTCTATTTTGATTTCAGCCTCACATATGTTGGTGCGGGAATGATCTGCTCACACCTTGTAAACCTCTCCGCGCTCTTTGGCGCAATACTTTCTTGGGGGATAATGTGGCCACTGATCAGCATACAAAAGGGTAAGTGGTATCCTGGAAATGTTCCTGAAAGCAGCATGACAAGCTTGTTTGGTTACAAGGTCAGGCATACAATTTACCTTTTTCTCAAAATAGTCTGATGTGAATCCATAATTTTATATGGTACAGTATCTCTAATTTTCTCCTTCTCAGTCCTTCATGTGTGTAGCTTTGATCATGGGGGATGGCCTTTACCACTTCATAAAAGTAACAGGTATCACTGCTAAGAGCCTGCATGAACGATCCAATCGTAGACATGCTAAGAAAGGTAAACGTGCTCTGCGAAATTAACTATTTCCACGTTTTCTTCCCTCTTATATCACCAAGGTAGCTGAAGCTGAGTGAATTGCAGCGACAGATGAGGATACATTTGTAATTGCTGATATGCAGCGTGACGAGTTCTTCAACAAAGACTATATTCCAAACTGGCTAGCGTATGCTGGATATGCCTTACTGAGCATTGTTGCGGTAATTGCGATACCCATAATGTTCCAACAGGTGAAGTGGTACTATGTTGTTGTAGCCTTTGTGCTTGCTCCTGTGCTGGGATTCTCCAATGCCTATGGAACTGGGCTAACTGACATGAACATGAGCTACAACTATGGCAAGATTGCTCTCTTCATCTTTGCAGCTTGGGGAGGGAGGGACAACGGTGTCATTGCTGGTCTTGTTGGTTGTGGAATAGTGAAGCAGCTAGTACAAGTCTCTGCTGATTTGATGCACGACTTTAAGACTGGTCATCTGACATTAACATCACCAAGATCCATGCTTGTTGGGCAGGCCATTGGTACAGCCATGGGCTGCATAATCGCTCCACTGACTTTCTTGCTCTTCTACAAAGCATTTGATATTGGGAACCCTGATGGATACTGGAAGGCTCCATATGCCCTGATATTTCGAAACATGGCCATTCTTGGCGTCGAGGGCTTTTCTGCACTACCAAAGCATTGTCTTGAGCTGTCTGCTGGCTTCTTTGCATTTTCTGTGCTCATCAACCTTATGAGGGACTTCTTGCCACGCAAGTACAGGGATTATGTGCCCCTGCCGACGGCAATGGCTGTGCCATTCCTTGTTGGTGCAAATTTTGCTATTGACATGTGTGTGGGAAGCCTGATAGTCTTTGCCTGGCACAAGATCAACAGCAAGGAGTCTGCGTTGCTAGTGCCAGCGGTTGCGTCTGGTTTTATTTGTGGAGATGGTATATGGATGTTCCCTTCTTCCCTGCTTTCCCTTGCTAAGGTTAAGCCACCAATCTGCATGAAGTTCACTCCCGGAAGCTAGAGAAACAGGTGTTTCCTGGATGCTGAGTTCGACATGGTATGATAGGTGAGATGACTAATATATAATCATTTTGGATACTAGTGTTCTGTTACCGTATTATTCCTTTTAATGAATTGTGCTTATTGGAGGTTATCTGTTCTTTTAGGTAATGGATAGACCGGCCTCTGTATCTAGGATGCACAAAGCAAACCATCACTTATTACAATAGTTCCACGCTGTTTTGGAAAGATAAAAATGCAACAAGTTTGTCAAGTACTCCCTCCGTTTCAAAATGTTTGACATCGTTGACTTTTTAGCACATGTTTGACCGTTCGTCTTATTCAAACAAATTTGTGAAATATGTAAAACTATGTGTACATGAAAATATATTTAACAATGAATCAAATGATATGAAAAGAATAAATAATTACTTAAATTTTTTTAATAAGACGAATGGTCAAACACGTACTTAAAAAGTCAACGGTGTCAAACATTTTGAAACGGATGGAGTATTAAATAGGCACCATTTTGGAGGTTATCTGTTGGTGCCTTGAAAATCAGTTTTTCTCAGTATTTCCAGAGGGAAGTGGATCTTAACTTCTTCAGACTACTGTTACCGGTTGTGTATTGTGTTAAGTACATAATAGAGAACTTGTAGTTCTGCATCATTTTGAAGGATAAATATGAATAGAGTACTATTGCCCAACCTCCTGTATTTAGTTATTTTAGTTTGTTTTTTTAGATAGTTGCTACACCAAAGAATTACAGTAATTAATAGTGCTATGACCTTGCAAGTAGCAGCGCCTCATCACATATTGCAATTTTTGGAGAGTGTACTCATTCAGAACCTTTCCGGGTTCTGAGTGGAACTTCTGGCGAAATTTCTGTGTTCCTCTCCTGCCGCATCCCAGGCAGGTGAAGAGCTCTCAGCTTTGCCTAGGGAACTCTATGGAAAATAATAATGGATCTTATTTTATTTTTTGGATAAAGGGGCGAGGGAGACCTCAGCTTGTTTTGAAAGCTGATATGGTTCTTACAGAAGTAAATAAAAACAGAAAAAGTTGATGATGAGGACATCAGCTTACAATCAGAACATCAAAAGAAACAACTTTCCACCTGTGTGGTAACGTTACAACGCTTCAACCTCTTCAAAAATTTCCTTTGACTATATATCTCTTATCCGATTCCTATGTTTTTTCTATGGTCCAATTAAACGATTATTTATATTTGTTGCAATAATCTGTTTTACACATGTATCTTGTATTTAGGTTAGAATCTTGTGTTTTTTTTCTTTGTTTTTCTATTTCTACAACTACGAAGGTAGCCCGCACATTCGTGTGGGCATGCGTCATACACAAATTAAGTTTGAGACACTTATAAGAACGAAACATTAACCGGAGAACATCAGCTATGATTTCTCCGTAAATTATTTTGGCGGCATTAATTGCTTTTATAATTTTCTAACGTAAGTTTATTAGAGGACAAATTGGGTGGGACATGAAGCTCCACTAAATGTATGGGTTTATAAAGCCTAATATGATTGATATAGTTTGAGAGGCGGTCCATCTATGAACATTTCAGTAAAGTGGGTCGGAGGTACCACACAATCTAACGTGAATACGATAAGGACGAAATATAATTGCACAATAATATTTTTGAAATGTAATGTACGATGAATACACACATGTTTTTTCTAATATATGATAGATCTAACGGTTAGAAATAATGGTTCCACCAGTTTAAAACGCATATGAGTATTCTAGAAATATAGTTTAAAAACTATGGTTATTTTAATATCCAACATTATTGTGAAGTAAACTAACTCAACTGGTTAGGTTTCTTATGGTAGAACTTGCCCACTCGGGTTCAAGTCCTAGACTTAACAAATTCTTTCAGTGGTAAGCGACATATCTGTCGACAGCGTGGCACTCGTGGTGACTTCGTTAATCTCAAAATATGTCAGCCTAGTCTGTTGGAGGTACTCATAGGGATAGGGTGTGTGCGCACGTTTATAGGGGTGAGTATGTGCGCGTTGTGAGCGTATGCGTTTGTACTTTGTTTCTCAAAACAATATCCAACTTTATTGATTTTTTTCTCTTTAATTTTAATAGATACAAATATGAGGGGGCGGATAGTGTTGTGTACATGTGAGGGTGAGGAGGAGGAGATTTTATTTTTCTATTTTTTTCTAAATGATTTAAGTGAAAGCCGATGATGTGGTGTTTCGTTTTTTCTAAGAATTTTGAAGGTTCTTTCTGTTTTTTAATAGGACGTGACACATGGCAATTCAAGATTTTTTTAAAAAAAAATAATTGATCTAATAGTTAAAAATTATGGACACGTCAATTTATTTGGTTTTTCTTAGAATTTTAGAATATGATATACAATTATTTATAAGCGTTCTGGAGGGTGTTTAATTGATTTTTGTTATGTAGAATGATTTAGTATAATATAATACATATGTTCAATTAATTTTTGTTGTTGTTATTTAGTTGCCATGCGAATGATAGAGTCTACCTTCAAATGATGTAATTTTAACTTTTATATAGTAAAATATAGCTAATGCGATCTTGATTTATTTATTTAATTATAAATAAAACAATATCTATGACTGTTTTTATATTATGTTAGTTAAAAAAATGGAAGAGGTTAATTGAATTGGATAGAAGAGGACGGGAGGGTCAGAGATATACATACGGCATGAGGATGGGAGGATATTAATGTTTTAAAGATAGATCGAATGGGTCCTAGTTTCGAGTTATCTATTTTTATAAATACAGTTAATCTTAGATTTATTAGAAAATATTTTGGGTATTGTATTTTTTAATTAAACTACTTAAATTGTTTTAAATTATTCTAATTTAAGTGTATGTTATTAATCCGAAGGTTAAAAATCTATTTGATTTTTTTTCTTAAAGATGTATGGATCAGTGAACAATAGCCAAAGTAATGATTTTTTTAATAATATAGTTCACTTGTATTTTCAATTTTAAGTTCTATAGTAAATAATCTAGTGGTGTGCACCAATAAGAGGTTAGCTATATGATTTAGATGATGTAGTTGTTTAAAATTTGTTACCATAAAATATTTTTTCCATCTAACTAAAAGAGGAAAATAGGAGAGAAAGGAAATAGGTGGGGAGGTATGTACGCACAATGGGTTCACTGCATATTAGTAAAAAACTACATCAAAATGTTTTGTTCATTCTCATATTTTTTTGTGATTTTTCTAATTTATTAAAATGCAGGCATATAAGCGTTTGTAGAAGTGCTACGTGATGGTTTGACAGCGTTTATAGGATGTTTACTGGACAAAGTTAAATATGCTTACATGTGATAATTATTAAACTAAAATATAGTTAATATCTCCTTTAAAAAATATAGTTAATATCAAATCTAGTCGTAATATTTTCCATACATACATCTAATTTAGATAAGTTTAGGGCTCATTTGAATCGCAGGGTTGAAAAAATAGAGGAATAGGAAAAACACAGGATTCTGATAGGAATTAAAGTGTAAAACAGAGGATTGCAAAACATAGGAAAAACACAGGAATTGTCGTTTGATTGGAGCGCAGGAAAAACGCAGGAATCGGATGAGAGAGATAGACTCAAAGGAAATTTTCCAAGAGGTTGAAGCTCTTGCTATATTTTCTCTAAAATCCACATGCAATGTGCCATTCCATAGGAATTTCATAGGATTTGAAAAGCTTTAATCCTTTGAATCAAAGGGCCAAATAGGAAAATTTCCTATAGTATTTGAATCCTATGAAATTCCTACATAAATCCTTTGATTCAAAGGGGCCTATTAGGGGATGGATGGATGTTGCTTGTATGTATAAAGATTCAAGGATGGTAGGACGGTGCATAGTATGTACATATTCGAAGATTTTTTTTCTCAATCCATGAATAGTAGTACGTATTGTACATGTGAGTTTTTTTTCAGTTTTTCTGGGTGAACAGTATGTATGCAGTTTCTCTCATAGCAATTTGGTGGGAGCGGCAGGGCTAATCCTTCTTTCTTTTTCTCAACCGTACTTACGTTTTTTTGTTTATTTTTTTCCATGAGTAGTAAAGTACGGAAGTACGTATATGTACGTACAACTATTCACATGATTTTCTTATTCGGGGAGGTTATATAGGATGTATTTTAAGTAAATTAAAATATTTTTTTCATCGGAAATTTGTAATGTTTTCTCTAATTTATTAGAGCGTCAGTTGACGGCTTAGAAGCGTTGGTAGGAGTGACACGTGATTGTTTAGAAACGTTTGTATGAAGTTTAATTAACTTTTAATACGTAGTTCATAGATAATAGATTGAAAGTTTTCATAAAGAGGCAGAAGCACTCGTTGGTCCGCAGATGGAGCTCCCGTACGTGCCGGACTGCCGGTGCGCATCGGCGTCATGACCCGTACGTCTTCGCTCACGTTGGTGTATTGCAGGTCGGTCCTCCACAAAGCAAATGTTGGGTTGACATCCATGTCCCACTCCCACACAAGTCCTAGGCCCAGCACGACTTATAACAACCGACCCAGCGTGCGCCACGAGAGCTTGAACGGCGAAAAGGCTATGGGGCGATCGATCGGATCAGCCGATACCCCCTCTCCTCCAGTGGTTTCTTTTTTTTTTCACCGCGTTACTTTCCTATTTTAGTAAATTTATGCACATAAAGTTTATACGTATCAAGTTTACACATCTAAAGTTTATAGACCCAAAGTTTATAAGTCAAAAGTTTATATATCCGATTCAAATTTGAATTTGAATTCAAATACATTTTATATATAGTATTTCTATACATCTAAAGTTTATACGGAGTACACCTAAAGTTTATAAACCCAAAGTTTATAAGTCAAAAATTTATATACCCGATTTAAATTTGAATTATATCTAATTTAAATTTGAATTTGAATTTAAATATTATTTATATATAGTATTTCTATACATCTAAAGTTTATACACCTAAAGTTTATATACCCAAAGTTTATAAGTCAAAAGTTTGCATATCTGATTCAAATTTGAATTTGAATTCAAATATTAGTTTATAGATCCAAAGTTTATAAGTCAAAAGTTTATATACCCGTTTCAAATTTGAATTTAAATTCAAATATTTTTATATATAGTATTTCTATACATAACTTTTTTCAACTTTATTTTTTTTTTATTTTAAATTTATGGTGTAGTAGGAAGAGAAGAATGGGAGGAGAAAGGGGGAGAGAGCGTATAGGGGGGATGGGAATCAATCGCTCCAAGCGATCGATCGCCCATTAGCCACCCCCTTGAACGGTGGCGACGCCCGCACGGCTCCCGGCCCGCCAAAGAACGCAGCTCGTTGCAGGCAGGGTTTACGTAATCGTATGATTACCATGCAGTTATCATGATTATCACATAGAGTAATTACCATATGGTTATCATGATTAGCAGGGTTTACATAATCATATGATTACCATGCGGTTATCATGATTATCACGTAGAGTAATTTTTTCAGTTTCTAAAATCACTGTATATCTCACGATAATCGTACGATTTTTACAGTAACCACACTTGGGACGGTTTGGTGAACGGTACCGTTAATGAAATGGAAAAGGAGAAAATTGGCTATGAGAATAACTCGTACGAAGAGGATATATGAGAATAAAATGGATAAGCGTATATACTATCTTTGATGCTAAGCACAAGATATCTTACATATGAAACCAATCAAATTGAAGATAACAACTATGTGGTTAATATGGTAAAGACTAGAGAGTCCATTAATTTATTGTGCCCACGTGTATATACTTCAATTTGATCTAAACTAAAGATTAAAAAAACCAAGTTACTATATATAAGGACGTTTGTTTTTTTTCAGTTATAGCCTACAGTACATATTATATTACATTTTTTTCATGCAAATATAGTTCTCTTTGTCACATATCATTGCCAAAGGTACCATTGTGAACCATCGGTAAAGTTATGTCCTCTCGGTAATTTTTTCTTGTACCTTCGGAACTTATAACCATTTCCGAGAGGCATATTAAACCCATCGGTTACTAATATACCCCGTCGGTCACTAATAATAATTTCCGAGAGTTATATTAAACCCCTCGGTTACTAATATACCCCGTCGGCCACTTATAACCATTTCCGAGTGGTATCTTATAACTCTCACTCACTGATATATCCCGTCGGCCACATGCTAAATAGCCGAATGTTCTCGTAACAACCCTTACTAAAATTTTAAACGGTCGGCCACCTAAATCTTCCTAACGGTCTATAGGATTTTTTGCTTGGACGCTTGGCAAATCTTAGGATTCTAGGAGTGGGTGAACCTTAGCCGCAGCAGCATATGCTCCTCTCGCGGCAGCCGCTTCGCTTCCGCAGCGCCGGGCCGCTTGCCGTGCCAAGCGCGCGCTGACGCAGTGACGCCTGAGGCTACTCGGGTCAAGTCCTCCACTCTGCCAGTCCGCCTCCGCCCACAGGTATGTCGCCGCTGGTTTGCACCTTCGAACCGCAGTAAAATAGAAATGAGGGGGGCGAAATTCATGTGCCATTTCCTGAGCAATCTTTGGCCTTTTGCCTAAGCCATTTCGCTGATATCAGTGTACCCAGACGCTGTTAATTAATTTCCGAAATGGAAGACCATGGAAGCCTTTACCGGCCCGGTCAGACAAATCTGAATGATGGAGATACGATGCCTCACTCGATGCCTTTGCTAACTGCTACTACTACAACTGTTGTGTTGCCCGTGAAAACACCTTGGATCAGATGGAGACTACTAGGTGGAAAAAAACACGAATATTAGAGAAGGATCTAATATTAAATATTTTTTAACTAAATTTTTTTAATTGGAAATATCAAATATTTAGAAAGAGTAAAGCTTCGAACCCAGATCATATAGCCCACCATCTTATAGAGCTAGTCAGAAGATCCCTGAGCATTTCTCGACTACTAGGCAGGTCGAAGCTCGTATGTCATCACCTCTTTACTTTCGAAGCCAAGGTTGGTGATCTCTGCTCGCAAGGAAGATGTTGTATACTTGTATGTTGTATCAATCAATATGAACATTTCCCTTAAAAAAAAAAAGAATCAATATGAACATGTGCCGTTCAGCATCAGAGAGCAATTTTGTAGTTATATATGGTTCTGGAGCTGTTGCAGTACATACCTTTGCCCCCGCCTTCCCAAGAGGAATTTTAATTTACAAGTCAAAAAGATGCAAACTTCCAACGAATTTTCGCTGATTTTACCAAACGTCTGGTGTGTGAGAGCTACTTTGGAGAGTACGTCCTCCAATTACCAAACGTCTTAGCATGTGGGTCTTACCATTAGAAATTGACACCTGCCGAGGCACGCGAGGTCAACACCAAAACCGCATGCCGCCAACACGTGACGAGACTCTCTCTATCTATATAGTCAGCCGCGGAAGATGCCGCCCGGCACACGGGATGAGCAAAACGGTGGGATAGATTCATAGATAGATAGTAGTAGTACTGGATAGATAGAAAGATAGATAGTCCAGCCAGAAAGGTGCCGTCGCCTGTCTGTCTGGTCCAAGAAACAGAAACGTTCGTGTCGCCGTATAAGTTGCAGAACTCGTCGATCTCCAGTGTATAAGCGAATCAGTTTGTGGTTTGTTCCGGGAGGAAGAACAGAAGACCGGAAGGGTTGGCTGCGATGGCCGGAGGGAAGGCGGTGTACTCGTTCCAGGAGGTGAGCAAGCACAACGACCGGAAGGATTGCTGGCTCATCATCGCCGGCAAGGTTAGCTCTCGCCACTTCCAGACTCTCTCCTCCTCCCTATCGTTTTTCTCTGAACTGAATTCAGCATGATAATTATGATGGTTTTTTTCATTTCTTCTTTCTTTTATTCTTTCTTTCTTTCTTTTTGAGGTTTGGTTTTCATTTCTTCTCCAGGTGTACGACGTGTCGCCGTTCATGGAGGAGCACCCCGGCGGCGACGAGGTCCTGCTGGCGTGCACCGGTGAGCCGCCGCTCGATCTGATTCCTTCCCCCCAACACCACATATGCTCTGAGACTTTGATCGACATGATCACACAAGCTGATCCAGGGAATGGATTGAACTGTCTCACTCTGCAGGCAAGGACGCGACCGCGGATTTCAACGACATCGGGCACACGGCGACGGCGAAGGAGCTGATGCCGCAGTACTGCATCGGCGAGGTCGACGCCTCCACGGTCCCGGCCAAGCCGGCCTACCGCGTCGTCTCCGAGGACGCGAGCGCCAAGCCGGACGCCGCGAGCCAGGGCGCCTGGCTCACGGCGCTGCAGCTCGCCGTGCCGGTTGTGCTGCTGGGGCTGGCCTACGCGCTCCAGGACTTCGCCAAGACCAAGACGGCGTAGGGCTAGGGCGGCTCTGCCGCCGCAGGCTGGGGGCCTCTTGGAATCGTCATCTGAATATTTGGGTCCATAGGTCGAAGTGTCAGACTGTCAATTAAGTGTACCAGTGCTAAGTGCTAGTTAATTATTAGTAATCTCCGTAAAGAAAAATAAATGTTTGCCGATGAAGTTCTGTTTTCTATTTTTTGTTGTTGTCTGCTTTTCTGCCATTCAGCATCTGAGCATGAACCATTGATTCATCTCCATCGTTCACACTTCACATTCTTTGGATCATCTAGAATCTTCCGTTTATAGTACTATAATGACTTAAAATCTGCGGACTACTCATCTTCCGTTTATAGTACTAGTATAATGACTTAAAATCTATGGACTACTCTCTCCGTCCAATTTTAAATACAACCATAAATTTTTCACCCAATATTAGTTTTCTTGAATTTTTTTTATAATTATTATTTTTTTGTTGTTATGAAATAAAATGCAACCATAAATTTTTCACCCAATATTAGTTTTCTTGAATTTTTTTATAATTAGTATTTTTTTGTTGTTATGAAATAATAAAATATGAATAGTACTTTACTGACTTATGTTTTTAAATTTTTTAAAAAAATTAAATACGATGGACGATAAAAGTTAGGTGCGAAAAATTATGGCTACACGGGACAGAGGGAGGGAAGATTAAAGCAGGTTGAGCCGTTGAGGCAGTCATCTGCCATAATGCTTTCATACTCTTTTCTCAATACAAATGAGATATATCTCAATGCTATGTATGCCTTCTTTAAATGTTGAAAAGCTTGTCCAGGAAAACATCGTTTAACCAGGCAATTGAGCAAGCCAAGCATGGGGGAACAGACTGAGTAAATAATCCAAATACAAGGATCAACGACGTATATGAATTATTCCTATTAATATTTGCCAAGATGACAATGTAACAAAAAATTCCTTCCGCAGGATGAACAGAAAGAGAAAGAACACAGAAGAAAAACGAATATTCTTTTACATGTGTACCACCCGCCTAATCTATAAACAACATCCAACGGCAAACGAGGAAACCGAAGGAACTTACAATACTCCGGGGTTTACAACTCGCTATGAATCATTCCTGGTAGACCTGTAGTCAAGGGTCGTGGAGCGGCACATAGATATATACAGCATCACAAGGGTCTTGGCTTGGGCGTGAGTTGCGTACCTCAGAACTTGTACAGTTTAAACTGTTGGAGCTACTTGTGTTAAATTAATTAATTGATTCTACGAGACCAATGTATAGTGCTAGGAGCCTGCTTCCAGCTGAAGAACCTGCTCTTGCTTTCCTCTTATAAATGAGGTCAATTCTTTTGGTGCAACAACCGACTTGAGCCACTCTTGAAGCTCCTCGCCCTCAACCTTTTCATTCTCTGAATGGGGTAGAGAAGAAAGCCGTTATGCATAGGTTAAACAGTTTTCATTTTTAATCTAATGAAGCAAAACCCATCATAGAAAGGAGAGCCACAATAACATATGCAACCTGATAATTTGGTCTAGTTTTTTACCTTCTAAATATGCTCCAAGGCCTTCCAAAACTGTAGGATTAGCACGGACAACTGAAAGAGCGACATCAAGGGCTGATTGAAGAAGGGCTTTTACTTCCCGCTGGACAAGGTCAACTAGATGGCCCTGTCATTAGTTTTGCAGTGTGAGCACAATACATGCAGATGGTAGCTTACGCATTTGTCAGGCAAAGAGACTTTTTTTTTTCCAAAAGAGTAAATTCATAGTTTAATAAAGGAATACGGAAACATGAAAAAAAGAGCTTCTGTTCGTAAAATTTGTTCAAAATGTGGACTGATTCGTAGGCAAGGACAAAGACGGGTAATCTTTCTAAAAAAGAACTTGACTTTCTAAAAAGTTAAAAAAAAAAGTACCCGCGAAAATGTCCAAATTCCAAATAAAAAATTCAAGTAAAGGAGTAGGGACATTTTGAGACAGACCTGATCCCTTCCCCATGGAGAGCCTCCGGATTCATCTAGCCCACCATTTGACAATGTTGCCACCGATATCGGACCTATGCGCTGATTAAGACCATACTCTGCTACAGCCTTGTATGCCATGTCAGTGGCACGCCTTATGTCATCAAGTGCTCCAGTAGAAACACGCCCTGACAGTACTACTTCCTCTGCTGCCCTTCCACCCAAAAGTGTTACTAGACGTCCACGCAGTTCATCAACAAAGAGCAAATATCTATCTTCTGTTGTGGGAGGGGTGTATGTAAAGCCCAATGCACCACCTGACCTTGGCAATATACTCAATTTCTGGTGGAAAAAAGAACAACACTAAAATGTAAGCCCAAGACGAACATTTTCTTAAACTGTTCTATCGATAGTTGCTTGCGTTCAAACCTCCACACGTGGCTGCCCTGGCAATAGGTTTGCTACAGCAGTTCCCACAACGGCATGACCAACTTCATGCCGTGCAACAACAGCCTTTTCATTACCCTTCAGCTTTGCATGCTTTTTCTCAATGCCCTAAGAAAATAATTCCAGTTAGTTTCCAGGAAACAATGTGGAAGTAAAACAATGTCTACTCTAACAGCTGGAACAGATACATCTTCCATAACAATATTGAACTAGGGCAAGGATCAACAAAAGGGCCATTCCTTCAGTGCTGAATCAATGGACAGCATGTAGGAAAAGAATGAGGACAGTAACATCATATATGACCTTATGGCGTCCCCATTATCAAATAAAGAAAATCCATAAAGGGCCTGTTTGGCATATCTCTAGCTCAAACTCCACCGCTCCTAGAGCTGGAGCCCAACCAAACAGTTTCAGCTCCACCAATGAATGGAGTGGAGCTGGCTGGAGTGCTCTCACAAAATGAACTAGAGAGGTGAAGCTGGGTTTAGGCAGCTCCACAAATCCACTTCAGACCCAACTCTTGGAATTAAATTTAGGAGTTGGAGCCCTACCAAACGGCCCCAAAATCTATCAAAAAACTCACAAGTTGAACGGTATTTCAAAAACTTTAAAAAATTTGACTACCAGCAAGGGTGGAAATAGACATAAATTCATTGCAAGAAACCGAACGCATTTAGTGGACATAATGCACTGGCAGCTTTATTACCTATACTACAAAAGCAGAATTGGGAGAGACAAGTCAAGAATAGTTTCAAAATGGATATCTAGATATTTGTCTTGTATAAGTTGCCATTCCACATATTCTTGTAAATCGGTTAAGAAAACTAGGATAGAAATAAGAAACCAAGCAGACGAAATTTCCTTGTATAAAATGACCTTAGCAAACAATAATAGCAAACGAATTTGAGATAAAGGAACATACAGCAATAGAGCGCTCCACTGCACAGATGAAGTCAATTTTTTCCACTATTTCTTTATTTGATCTCCCAGCCAACAAAGCAGCTTCATTTACTAAATTTGCAAGGTCTGCCCTGTATAGTGTAAAAAGAATGTCAAATCAACTGAAAATGCTGCATGCTTATTAAAAAGGAGCAGAAGAATTCTCACCCAGTAAAACCAGTTGTCATTGCAGCAATGTCACTAAGATCTACATCTTTACCAAGCGGAAGCTCCTTTCTGCTCACATGAACTTTCAGAATAGATTCTCTTCCAAATCTGTCGGGAGCTTCAACCTATCACATAAATATCTATGACCTCAGACAACAGAGATCCAGTATCACTTTTTTTTATTGAGAAGATCAATTTACCATAACTACACGGTCAAATCTCCCAGGGCGTCGGAGGGCAGGATCTAAAACATCTGCTCGGTTTGTTGCTCCAAGTACAATGACAGCTGAGTTGGTGTCAAATCCATCCATTTCCTAGGTAGATTCAGAGAAAATTAACACGAAGATAATTCAATTGGACCCCAACTAAAGATGTGTGTATGTGAGTAAAATATAGTCAGAATCACAAGATTAAAGGACTCTTTACTATCAATACCGTGAGTAATTGATTTAGTGTCTGCTCTCGCTCATCATTACTGACGATACGATAACGGCCATCACGGCTTTTTGCCACAGCATCAATCTACAAAGAAATGCAATTAGTTATCACACATTTAAGCACATAAAACTAGATTTTTGTCCTCAAACAGTAGGTTACCTCATCAATAAAAATAATCGAAGGAGATTCCTTTTTAGCTCTAGCAAATAGGTCACGCACTCGAGCTGCTCCCATGCCTACATACAACTCCACAAATTCACTTGCAGAGCAACTTATGAATGGGACTTCAGCTTCCCCTGCGACAGCTTTTGCAAGAAGCGTCTTTCCAGTTCCTGGAAGGCCCACCTGTAAATAATGAATTACATCATAGTACAAAAACTCTAGTCCAGCAACATTCATCATTACTTAAATGACTGCAGAACTGACCAACAAGACACCTCGTGGAGGTCGCGCACCAAGACGAATATATCTTTCTGGGTTCCTTAGGAACTCCTGAACATAAGATTAAGATATAACTAGCTTATTCCCCTCGAGTCAACAGATAAGGCATAATATCAGTGGATAACTGCATATACCAGTAACATTGAGCATAAAACACATACCACAATCTCTTCCAGCTCTTCTTTGGCCTCATCTACTCCAGCCACATCAGCAAATGTAACTATATCGGTACTTTCTGAAACTTTGGCCCCACCAGAGTTTGAATTCTTCCGATTCCTCAGCTGGCCTGCTGAATGCTGATATACACAAGAAACTATATTATATCTATTAAAGATATAACCGAGTATGTTCATTAGTTGATTGAAGTAATGAAGTGCATTCATCAGTACCTGAGAAAAGCTTATTGGCAATCGCTGCAGAACTACAGCAATTAATACAACATAAATAAGAGCCACCTGCAAAAAAAATAAGGGCATGGTTAGGACAAAAAAACGCAGCTAGGAGAGAGAGCTGTATATTTCTAATAAAGAAGAAGTTAGGAACAAAATGAAACAGCAAAACAGTGCTGTCTCAGATAAATGGTATGCTCTGTAACCTATTTTCTACTTAGGATTCCATTTTGCCATACTAAGTTTTAACAAAACCCCATTAATTCATTGATCTGTAAGTTCCAACATTCAACTGGAAGTTCAGTTTTTCGTGTGAACCAATCCATAAATCATTCCATCCTGTTTTCTCATTCAAGGTATACAACAGTGGTGATGAATGAAGAGTTCACAAGGATGAAGGGACGAGGGGAATATGATAATAACGAAGAAAAGTACTAGTGATTTTAAAGTCTTAATGTTAAAAGTTGTGCTTTCAATTTGCATTTGAAGTCAGGTTAGAAACTCAATCTACTGCGTAATATTACAACTGCATGTAGAAATACCCACATGAATCCTCAGATAATTCCATTATTTCAGGTCATATCCGAAGATTTATTTGGCATATTGATGCGAGGATTTTTTGTGATATGCAACTGACTATAATTTATGTTCTTGTAATAATCGGCTTATCTGTGACCAGGGCACAAATATAGTAAACTTTTAACTCTGAACTACCATGTCTATAAAACATCATTTCAACTATCACCAAACACCATGGAATATGTGATTTCTGAGTCTTCTGTTAGCAAATTGAGCAATGATGCTTCTGATTTTCCATAAGTTGAAACTAACATGAATTATATGCTCTCACGCAGTTGCAAATATCTCGAGCCTTCATGCTAATAGTAAACAGTTAAACACACAGCATTTTCTTCTCCTTCATGGCTGGCCAGTGGTAAGTATGCTGTATATAGTGCTATAAGCCACAAAATAACTAGTTTGCATAAGTCACTGCAACTAATTGATCTCTCCATTTCAAAACTCAACACCACACCAGTCCTACAATAACCATCATTCTACATGCTATACTGCATTCTTCCCTATCTATGTTCTGATGTGATTATTGCTTTCCCTATACTAAGATATCCAGCCTAAAAATACCACACGTATAACAAATTTATTTTTCAGCTGTAGTGCCTTACCAAAGCCGAATTGAGCAAGCCACCAGACCTTTTGTCCGGCGACCCAAACTCAACACTATTCTCCACCATTTTTTCATATGGTGTCTTAATGTCCACTGGACGTGTTGTTGTGAAGACAATTCGCCTTGGAACTCCAGCATTATCAGCAACAGAATCTGTTCCACGCTGCACCTGTGGCTGCTCCATTGCACGGGCCTCAACCTCAGGACGGAGCCTGAACATGATGTGCACCCCGTCCACCTCGACCTTCTTCACCTGGTTCTTGTCTATGCTCGCCAGGAAGTCGCTGTATGGGACGCTGACGTACGTTGTCTGTGGCCGGGGCTCTGAGCCAGGCAGCGCGATCTCGGGCCGCAGCATTCGGAGCGCGAATATGGCGAACCCAAGCTGGAGCAGGAGGAACCCCATTTCCCTCCCCTGAACTATGGGCTCCCAAAGCCACCGCCCAACGCCTCCGCCCTTAATCAGCTTCCGCCGCCACTTGTTCTCCCCCCTCTTCGATGAGGGCGGCTGCGGAGGCGTCGCGGCCGCGCTCGTGGTGCTCGTGCTGGCGCCATCACCTCCTGCCTCCGCCGCCGCCGCCGCCCCGTCGCGGTCCCCATCTCCAGAGGAGGAGGACGACGCCTCTCCTGGCCCGGACGCTTCGGCCCCGTCCCCTTCGCGCTCGACGTTGGCGCGCGCCGCCGGCGGGCGGCGGAGGACGCGGCGCTGGACGACCGCGAACCCGAGCCCCCGCGGCGGCACGGCGGAGATTCGTACGGACGCGGAGCAGCCGCCTCCCGCGGACGCTCTCCTGGGGAGCGGCCGCAGCAGCGACCGCGAAGGCGACGCGACGGGGAGCGACGCCGCCGCGAGGGTTTCGGCGGCGGCGGAGGCGGAGGCCATGTCAGCGGACGCGTGCCCCCCCGGAACCCTAATCCCTCGGAGCCGGAAGAATCGGAGAGCGCTCGCTGCGCCGCGCCGCGCGCGCGTGGAGGAGGGAGGAATCGGCGGGGAGGGGTCGGGGTGAGGAGGAGGAGGGAGAGAGAGAGAGAGAGAGAGGGGGAGAGATGAGGAAGGCAGAGGCCGAGGCGAGGCCGGCGAGGAGGGAGGGAAAGAGGGTGGCCGTTAGTTACGCCACTACGCCGTCACACGGGATGGTTTGTTATACGGACATCCCGTCACCGATGCATCTGTACGCGACGTGCCGCTGACGAGGTGGGCCCACATGGGCTGCTGCTCGGTGGGGGCCCGTTTGTCAGTCGCTCGTAGTGGGCTCTCCGGGGGTTTCACCGCGGAAGAGCGCGGGGCTTATCAGTTCCGATTGGATGTCGCACGGAGCGGTAACGGGATTGGAGGCGGTGGGTCCCGTGCTGTCAGTCGGAGTAGTTTTGCTCGTGTGTCGTCAGAATGTGGGGACACTATTATCACACGCTAGAGATATTTGGCACGTCGGATGGTGCAGCGCTGCGAGGCGCTCGTGTCCACAGAAACGATGGAACGACGGCGAGAATTTGGGTGCACATATCTCTTCCACTGCAAACAAAAACCGATGGATTTAATTTGGATGTAGTAGTAGCATGTTTTGAACTCGTTTTTATTCAACTTTATTTTTGCGGGGAAGCTTGTTCTGAACTCGTTGGCACAATCTGCACCTCTTTTATCACTCTGTCAGTTTTGTTACGTTGGTGCATGTAAATGGTCTGCGTGATAACCATGTAGCCATCAAGTTATCCAACTTAATTGAAAGCCGTCAGATTTGTGGGGTTCCGTTTGTCACTTTGTCTGGTGGTTGCATTAGGCGGAGCTTATTGATTCTGTGGCAACCACTAATTAAGTTCAGCTCACAGGTTGGATAATAAAATACTGCTTATAAGACAAATTTAATGTAGATAACTAGACATGTGCCCAATAGTGAAAGTTCAACCTTAACAAAGAGCAGATACAAGTTATGTGATGTGATTTTCGGAAGTGGTTGTGGTAAAGCCATAAAGGAGTTTTAATTAGGTCAGCAATCCGCATTAGGATAAGCATGATAGCATCTGCATATTTTTCGGAAAAAAAACATCTCGATAAAATAGGGCAAAGGTGTCTGAAGCTTTACATAGTGCATATGCGACTAGGTCTTGTTTTGCGAGCTCCTAATAGTTAACGACTCGCACAAGACTGCTAAGTTTATATTGATAGTCTGGTCTAACTGATTGAGCTGTGTAATTATAGCTCTTTTCTTCTAATATATTAACGTGCAATCCTTTTTCATGTTCATGAAAAAAAAGGTTCATATTGATAGAGAAAAAAATTACAAGATTATAACACTGGAAGGTTGTAACTAGGAAAATGAAGAAAAAATGACCACCCCGCGCGCCGACAACACCAAAACACAAACCCGACAACTGCTAGGCTAACAAAGGAACTACAGCTGAGGATGCCCAAAACATAACTCTAACAACCGACACCAAAGCGCACTCTAGCCACCTCTTTTGGATTAAGGGAGAGAGAGGGTGAGAGAGAAGATGGAACCGCTCTCCCCCTAAGCCCTCCGACGTGGCCATCTTGCATAAGCTAGGACGCCGACACAAGAGGACAAGCATCTAGAGCACGGTCTTGCACCAGTTGTCTGGGAGGGTTTCGGCAAAGGGGGTTGCCTAGACGATGTCTCCAGGGAGAGAAGCGATGAAAACACCACTGCCGTTGTCTGTCAAGTTCTCAAAGAGAACTGAGAGTAGGTTTTCACCCGGCAGACCCACTGGAGGAGATGGGATGGCACGACAACGCCCTCAAGAGGGAAGAGACTCAAAAATACCGTAATTGCCGGCCCAGACCAAGGCCAGGCTAAGTTTTCACTCGCCGCCCGCCGCCTACAAAACCACAACTATCGTGTCGATGCTCCACCGCCATCAACCTTCGCCGATGCATGGGCGTTGCACTGGTGCCCCCCGCCGGCCAGCCTCCACATGTTGCCATGCTACGCCGGCCTCCGTCGTCGCCGACCGTGTCTCCTTGCGCTGCGCAAGCCTTCGCTGCCGCCGACCGTGCCTCCTTGCGCCTCGCCGGCGTCCGCCGCCGCCGACTGCACCTCAACACACCGTGCCGACTAACGCCGCCACCGGTTTCGCGCCGAGCCGGCTGCCGACCGTGCCTCTCGCGCCGACCAGCCGCAGCGAGGCCGCAACCTCTCTGCCTCCTGCTGCCGTCGTCAACGCCCTCAACCTGTTGCTGACGCTGTTCGCCCGCATCCTTCCACCAGCGCCACTCCCGCACTTGCTCACCGTGCCCTAGGACAGATCCAGCAACGGCGGTGCCGGATCCAGCCGCGGAGGGGCTAGATCTGGCGGCGGCTATTAACAACCAAATTTGGTAGAATATGAACCAGGTTCGATATTGGAATCAAGACGGATTCGATATTGGACCTGCGCAGAAGCTAAGCAGATCTTCCAGACCAGTGTGTGTTTTTTGCATCAACAGCGGCGCCGCCAAATCTGCAGCCACTCGCCGCGCCGCCGCACGGCGGGCGTGCTGTGTCACCTCCTCATGCCAGAGACAGACTGCCGCCGCTATCCCGGCGGGCCGCGCGGTTTCTGGCGGCGGCGAGGTGGGTAGGGGGAGGGGAGGGTGGCAGTGGCCGGGGCTAGGGTTTGCCCCCGGTCAACCGCGCGAGGACGGCGGGGGACGCGCTCGAATGTATAATTTTCAGTGCTTAATAGTTACTATCAGAATCTCTAGTTCCCTAAATAGTATAATTTTCCATGCAAACTATGAAACATAATACATATAGATATGATGTTCGGTTGGACAACTAGGGCCCTGTTTGGTTCCATGGACTAATGTTTAGCCCTCACCTTTTAGCCTCAAATTAGCTCTCAAGGATCTAAACAGGTGGGCTAATTTTGAGCTAATGTGAATTAGCCCCCCTCAAAATATTAGCCCCTCCAAGAGGTACTAATGTGGCTAATTTTGTGTGGGGACCATAAAAAGGCAGCTCTCTCTCTCCTTCTCTCTCCTCTCTTTCTAATCTCTCTCCACCTTTTAACCTTGAATTAGTCCATGGATCCAAACATGTCACCCTAGGCTAATGTTTAGCCTACCAATTCATGACTAAATATTAGCCCTCAAAATTAGCCTTGGGCTAATCTTCCAAACAGGGCCTAGGAGGAAGGTCCTTGCCATATCATTGGGACAATTTATTCCAGCATATATAGTTTGGGAAAATCCAACTTTTTTATATTCTCATTAGATATTTGAAATATCATGTTTTTCCAGACATAGCTATGTGACAATTCCTCTTACTGGCTATTAGTATAACTCATTTGCTACCACAAATTGCAGCTTGTTAGTTAGTAATCTCTAGCAAGTTCAATGGATGAGCTGAATTAGTTGGACGAGGATGAAAATTATACTCAGACCACAAATGACACTAGGAAGAGAAAAGGTGTAAAACTATGGCAATTCGTTAATTAAGTAAAAGTTGACTTGTCGTTTATACTTTTGGTCAAGAAGCGTATGCGAGGAAAACTTATTGATAGAAAATGATTCGTACAAATAAGGACAAATCAGAATTTTCCTGTCTGATTACAAAGTTTTACTTCATTAGAAGCTTCTTTGAAAAATGTTGCATAGAAATTTGATTCAAGTGGGTAGGAACCACGCAAGTAAAATAAAACCAAGTAAGGCTGAGTTAGACCGAGTTTCCTAATTAGCGCAGATGCGCTGGCTAGCGATCTGGCGCGCGTTTTAAGCTTATATCCTCACGCGATTCCGCTCCGGCCCACTTTTGTTTTCTTCGTGAAAAAAAAACACCACGAGAGGCGTGTGCACGCGCGCCGCCGCGCTAGATTTGGAGAAAAATCTCACGATTAGTTCATTCACGTAATTAGTTTCCGATAGTTTTTTTTAATTAATCTTTCCTTTTTTTCCATGAAGTTGTTTCCTTTTTAACTAAAGATTTAAAATTCTATACACGAAATTTGAAATTTTCTATAGAAGAAATTAAAAGTCACGACCATAATTTAAAACAACTCAAAATTTGAAAATTTAAACTTTCAATTTAAAATTTGAAAACTTTCAACTCAAAATTTAAACTTTCAAGTCAATTTTGAAAACTTTCATCTTGAATTTTAAAAACTTTCAACTCGAATTTGAAAATTTTTTACCCAAATTTGAAAACTTTTTACCCAAATTTTAAATACTTTCAACTCGAAATTTAAAAACTTTCAAGTCAAAATTTAAAAACTTTCAACTCAAATTTGAAAAATTTCAACTCGAGGTTAAAAGGTTCCAACTCGAAATTTAAACTTTCAAGATAATTTTTTTAAAACTTTCAACTTAGATTTTGAAAATATTCTTCATATTTTCAAAACTTTCAACTTAACTATATTATTATGTATTATTTTGATAATAAAAAACTATAATTAGATTAATCCGGGCCCACGGGCTTAACCTTCTAGCCCCGACGCGGAACAGAAAAGTGCGCGCTAGCAACATTACCGGCGCAGGTGCGCTAACTAGAAGACCCCGAGTTAGACCTAATAGTTCGGCCCATATATTTGGTGATACATGAAACGAAATAAATCATTACTGTATGATTAACCAAGTATTAATTATTATAAAATTTAGAAATGGTTTTTTTATTTTTCTTAACAATATATATATATATATTTAAAGATATATTATTTAACCGTTTGAAAAACATGCTAATGAAAAATAAGAAAGTTAACGTTAGTTGGAGAAAAAGAACAGGGCTGAGTCCTTTTTCAGTTTCTATACGAAGTCTAGTTCCCAGCTCATCCCGTGAAAGGGCCTAAAATAGGCCTATAAATCAACAAACACGGCCCAGCCCAAGATTTGAGCGGCTATCCTCCCACGATAGCCACGTGGCCGCAATCCCGGCCACCAGATCCTTCTGGCTCCTACCTGTCCGGCCCCGCAACTCGAAAAGCCGAGGATCCCAACTTCCCAAGCCCCACCCTGTTCACTCCAAGCACCAAACTACCACCAAGTCCCAAACCACCACCAACCCCCACGCCCCCCCCCCCCCCCCCCATGGCCGCGCCACCCACGCCATCATCCCCACTGGTCGCCTCCACCCGCCGCTTCGTCGCCCCTCGCCTCCGCTCCCTCCTCCCGGCCGCCGCCGTCTCCATGTCCAGCACCTCCTCCTCCTCCATCTCGGCCCCCTCCAACGGCCGCCCCGTCTCAGGCGGCGCCGGGGAGCAGCGGCCGCCGCCGAGTCCCCTCCTCCCGCACGAGAGCCTCGAGGTCGCCGGGGCGCGCTGCGGCCTCCTCGCCGGGTTCGACAGCCTCCGCCGGCCGTACCGAGCCTTCCCCATTGTCGCGTCGAACCGGCACGTCGAGACCATCTTCGCCGCCTTCGCGCGGTCGCTCCCGGCCGTCGCGCTCCGCCGCGAGTGCCTCCGCACGCCCGACGATGGCGCCGTCGCGCTCGACTGGGTCTCCGGCGACGACCGTGCGCTTCCGCGGGACGCGCCGGTGCTCATACTCCTGGTATGCCTGTCGCTTTCCCTCTCGTAGTCTCGTGTGTGGTTGCGCGCTGTATGCCTGTATACATCGAGCGTCAATGCATTTGCTGGTAGTTAGAAATGAATCGATGAATGAGATTTGATTCGCATTGGGATTGGGATAGTATTTTTTTTGTTCAGAAATGGCCAAATAACACTGGTAGGATGACTAGTCCAGGATCGAAGTAGTCTAGTGTTCAGAGTGGCTAAGTGAAAAGCAACTAAGCTTTTGCCGTCATAATATTTCCCCCAAACGGGAGATTCTAGCAACATTTCGTTGACCTGCTCCAAGGAACAGGTTCACGACATCTCAGATGACCCATTGAAAGCATCTGACAGAACTAAAATTAATCGTCCAATGTGCAGTCAAAGACATCCACTCCGTATATGACCACAGAACTGAAATCAACTGATCTGACTTCTATTTTACCTTTTATCTTTACTGTTAGATGGCCAGTGCTTATCTGTAGTTCAGACATGCATTTAACTAGCTTATGGTTAGTGACTAATGCTTAAAGTTCGACATCGGCAGCCTGGTCTAACAGGGGGAAGTGATGATACATATGTAAGGCATATGCTGTTAAGAGCTAGAAACAAAGGATGGCGCGTGGTGGTGTTTAACAGCCGTGGATGTGCAGGCAGTCCAGTGACTACAGCCAAGGTACTTTATCAAATATTTTATTAATCTCATTGTATTCACTATATTCAGTAGATCCTGAAAAATCAAGTAACAATTGAAAAAAGAAGTCAGAATCAGTTGATCAACTTTACTCTCTCAGCTTGTAGAGGTTGTTTATTATGGGACTGTTTTTCAGATTTTCATCCTGTCTGATACATGTAGCTTGCACTTTAGTTGGTTCTGATCACTCTTAATTAAGCTGAAGGTTGTTTATGCTCTTGCTGGGAATATGACATGAGCCACCTACTTCAGCACCATATGGTGAAGGGCTAATCCATATGGCTCCTAATTCCATGGTAGTGTTTGGCACTCAGATATGTAGTCAACAATGAAAGGTTAATTCAGTTTTGCACTTCATTGTTGACCTTTTTTTTTCTAGAGAACATTTCTTCCTATTATATTGGGAAAAAAAATGGTTGTCTTGTGTCCTTCAAACTTATCAGCATCTTTTGGCTAACCTGATCTATAATGCAGACATATTGGCAAGCCACCATTCACCATGTTCATAAGCCTTAATATTGAATATTGTGGAGGAAACCTACGAATTAGCAGACTGTATAATATAATGGAATCAAATCACATTTAAAGCAAAAAAACGCTACAATATCTCGTCTTCTTAAAACGTTATTTTCCTGTCATGTGCAGTTCTATTCGGCATCATTTACTGGAGATCTCCGGCAAGTAGTTGATCATGTTTTAGGACGTTTTCCTCAATCTAACGTTTATGCTGTTGGCTGGTCTCTTGGAGCAAACATTCTTGTGCGCTACCTTGGAGAGGTGAGTTCTTTACTCATTGATGATGAGCCTACAGTTCTACACAACAGCATTTTTTTTCCTTGTGCCATATTTATCAGGGTTTATTTCATCTTGAAGTCATATGATTTATGTACTACCTTTTGTAGCTGATGATGACTAGGAGTTGACCTATATATGTGCCACTTTTGTTTGATTCAGTGTGTGATTTAATCCAATATGTTTTAAACTTATGGACTTGCTCCTTTTTATCACCTAATAATTTGATATGTGTTTTTTTTTCTGCATTAGGTTATATAGAATTGATCCCAAGGCACGCTTTACTCTAACAGTCTGAAACTTTACAGCTATATGTTTTCTCTTTCCAGGAAACTGATAAATGTGTTCTTTCTGGAGCTGTGTCTTTGTGCAATCCATTCGATTTGGTAATTGCAGATGAAGATTTCCACAAAGGATTTAACAATGTCTATGACAGAGCCCTTGCTAAGGCTCTGAGGAATATATTTAAGAAGTATTCTTCTGTTCACCTTTCATCAAATCTAAATTACACTGCTCTCCTTCAATGAATTCTAACAGTTGACTTTTAGGGAATTCATAAAATTTTAGGCATGCACTTCTTTTTGAAGGATTGGAAGGTGAATATAATATACCAAAGGCAGCGAATGCAAGATCAGTTAGAGACTTTGATGAAGGGCTAACCCGAGGTTTGAAATGACATCAAGCATAACTCTTACCGGATGCTATTCATTTTTTTTCTCTGTTGGGACCCGCATTTAAAATTACACTTCAATTGTATGCAGTTTCATTTGGCTTCAAGTCTGTGGATGATTATTACTCCAACTCAAGCAGCTCAGATTCCATAAAAAATGTTTCCATACCCTTATTGTGCATACAGGTGAAACTACTAGTTCTATATGCTTCGCTCACACATTAGGAACAACAATTATCTTATTACTTAGTTTGATAGTATCATTTTGTCATCCTTAGGGAACAGTAAAAATATTTAGTCAAAATTGTAAAGCAAAAATAGAGCAGGAGTATCTCAATGCAAGTCAACTCATGGCCTCTTAATTGTGTAATTTTTTTTTTAGAAAATGGATTAAAATCTGGCCTCTACATCCACAATGGATGTACACAGCCCACTTAATTGTGTAATTGAAATGCCAGGGGAAAAAAACTTTTGATTGCTTGCCTTGGTCTTGCCAATATAGTACAAATTACTTCAATAATTCTAGATGACAATAGTTACGGTATTGCACTTCCATTCACACATTACTTCAAGTCGGCACTATGGAATTCATAGAGCAATCATGGAATAAGGAATACATGAAGGCTTTAAAAGTAGTTAGATCTGTTTGTACTTCCATAGACATGCTGGAAAACAAGGTCAATGCTCAACAGTTTGTATTCAGTTGTCAGTACTGGTTCATATATTATACAATGAAAACAATTTGGCTTTCTCTCTCAAAAAAGAGAAAACAATTAGGCCGTACAATCACATATTAAGGGTTGCTTAGATATTTTCTGCTATAGTTTTTTATTCTTGCTTAATTATGTGCAGGCGGATAATGACCCAATTGCACCATCTAGGGGAATTCCCAGAGAAGATATCAAGGTATTCGCTTGTTGCAGTTTGTACTTTGTAGTATGCACCCTACTGGACCCTATTACTCAGCGTTGATCTCTTGCATAAGAACATGAGGCCAGCATACCGAGTCTAATTCATGAGAGTTCTGTTTTAAGTCAACAAATAAGAGTGCATGCAGATCCAAAGGGTGAAAAGTAGAACTTTGTTACTTCTGTGTACTGTAACTTGTTGATTAAAAGTACAATTTCCGGGTCGTGCTAACTGAAATGAGAATCATATCTAACTGGGATTCAGGTACTCTTATGTGGGGGGTTTTGTTTTATTAATTAATGAGTGAATTGAACTATACAACAAAGACAACAAATTTGGGTTTGGCTGTAATGCCATAGTCTAATGCGTCTAATTGGAGAGTCGATCTTTCTTTTTCCACATCACCAAGATAGTCATGAATCCTACCAAGATAGGATAGAAAACTCAATAGGGTACTGCACCTACCTTTTACACTGAGATAACTGAAGGCCTGTAACTTATGATTCATTCAATAGTTATGTATTTATTCTGCTCTGTGTTGCTCTAAAATGACTCAAGAAAATCTTGTTATTTTATCTTTTCAGGCGAACCCGAACTGCCTACTGATAGTAACACCACAGGGTGGTCACCTTGGATGGGTGGCAGGTGAAGATGCTCCATTTGGATGCCCTTGGACTGACCCAATTATAATGGAGTTTTTAGAATATGTTCATAACGAAAAGAACTCTAGTACCAAGGGTAGCATCTCATATGAGCAGCAGAGTGTTACACAAACGTCAGCCCCAGATGTCTCCGTGCATGTGCAGCGATAGTAACGTTTCTCTTGCCAGATTTTTCCATTCACTAGGCATGTCTTGTGCACATAGTTGTTAGGTCGAGATGCTCTACAGTGCTCCAGGATGACAGGTACATGATCAAATCTCATGCACCCCTAGTTTTGTTCCTAAGTATAAATATTTTCTGTTCTTCCATCAATAGTTTGATGAATATTGTTCGCTCTGCCTCTGCTTTACTTGTGCAGGTTCTACGTTATTGAGTTGTGACGATATTGTCGCGGCCTGCAGTCTGGGATTCTTTACAGATTTATGGGCTTTGCCTGTTCAACTAATTTTAATATTTATTCCGTATTGACCATTGCCGATACGTGCTGTATAAAACGGTATAAACAGTATATCGATCGTGTTCTTAATATACATCCTACAACTATACGTCTATACAAGTGCGGCCCTGATATTCATATGTAATTATTAGTTCATAGATAGGCAGATAACACCACATAGTAATACTCCTATAGGCCATATGTGGCACCAACAACCACCGGGCCTGTAGAAAATGTATCCAAAAGAGCACCGTACCTACATACCCTACTATTCCTAGATATAGTACTATCATATGATCATCCATAGAAATGATCTATAGGCTAGTTTAGATTGAAGCTAATTTGCACCTTACAAAAAAATTGGCAACTTTAATGGTACCACGTGGATATTTGGTTTGCTGCCAATTTTCACGTCCATACTAGTTCAACTTCTATATTACCAAATTTGGTTGAAAGATTTTGGCACTAAAATCTTAGTATATGGCAAAAATTATCTTCAAACCGAACAAGTTCTATACTAGTGTCAAAACTTGATGAGGTTTTAACACTATAAAAAATTAGTAAGGTAAAAATTGGCTCCAAACCAAACAAGCCTACTATTCTATATATTGATTCTAACACTAAGATCATGGTAGAACATCTCATTCTCAGAATGGCTTGAGCTCGGTACAACAGCAAGGATAATAATGAGTTATAAGCCTACTATAAATTTACGTGGAGACAGGTAAGAAAAAAAAAATCAAAGGTGTTGGCTCTTATGTAAGAGCAGCTTAACACAAGTTTTAAGACAAATACAATAATTGTATACTCCCTCTGTACTCGTAAAAGAAGTCGTTTAGAATAATGTTTAAATCAAACCTTGGGAATATAAATCATGAATAACTCTTAAATTGTTGAGTTTGAAAATGTAAAAATTATATGAATAGATTTGTCTTGAAAAATACTTTTATAAAAGTATACATATATCACTTTTCAATAAATATTTTTATAGAAATAACAAGTCAAAGTTGTGTTTTGGAAACCGTGTCAATAGAGAGAGGAGTAGAAAATTGTGGTCAACCTTATTGCTAATCTATTATATATGTTGGCTTTAAGTGCCCATTTAAATCGTAGGAATGAAAAAAAAGGATAAATAGAAAAACGTAAGATTCTAATAGGAATGCAAATGCAAAACAGAGGATTGTAAAACACATGAAAAACACATGTATGACCGTTTGATTGAACCGCATGAAGAACACAGGAATCGGATGAGAGAGATAGACTCAAAGGAAAGTTTCCAAGAGATTTAAGCTCTTGCTAAATTTCCTCTAAAATCTCTATAGGATTGTCCATTTCATAGGAATTTTAAAGGATAAGATAGAATTTAATCCTTTGTTTTAGGATTGGAATCCTCAAAATTCCTATGTTTATTCTCCAAATCAAAGGGGTCCTAAGATGGACTAATAGCAGGAAATTAGCTCTACTATTATCTTGCTCTTAGTCCTGCGCAAAGCGCCCTCGATTCCAAGAGCTCAACAGCACCTATGGCTGCGCTACGTCTTTTTCGTGCTTCTCATTTGGCCTCGCGTCGCTTTCATGTCCCACTGGCTCGCTTCGATCGTTCCGGTTTTCCACCACACATTTGGCCGCCGGCACAGCCACACGCATCCAGAACTTTCTTAATCCTCGCTAGTTGCTCCTTGCTCGCCGCAGCATATCCTCTCGTCGATCTCTCTCCGCGACAGACACCTGCCCCCGCATCTCTGCTTCCCCCGCGCAACAGCGCCCGGGCCGCGGGACGACGAACAGTCGATCGCCACGCCGAGCGGATCGACCGCTAACCTCCAAACGAGCTCGAGGAAAACGCGACCCATCTCCTGTGGTGCGAGTACGACCTTGTCGCCAACGATTGCGATGTTTTCTCCGTTGATCTCTCCCTCCGCCGCTCGGTGCGGTCGCTGCACGTCCTACAGTAACATTCACTGCGCGCGAACACAATAACGTTCAAAGCATGGACGACAAGCGCCGGCATGCGCATGGGCATGGCACACATGCGCAGCGTTGATATATATGTTTCACATATGTGCACGAACGGGCTCCGAGGCAGGGGAGCCAGATTCACGAACATGAATAATTAATGTAGCATCCTAGCATAACAAGCAGCAAGACTCGGCGATCGACCGGCCGGAGGATTTCTATCTGTGCAACGCAATGCATGTGTGGATTTGCATTGTTGCATGGTTTGCCGGCCGGCCGGTTGCATCCTCCATCTCTAATCTGCTCTCCCGTCTAGCTTACGAGCGCCGCGGCTCTAGTCGATCTCTCCGGACCAACTGACTGCACAAGCCAGCAGCAGCAACAGCAGCAAAATATCTATATAGACCCAATACAACACGTACTCATACACATATATATTTATATACTGTATGCTACGCTGATTGATTAGCATGATCATGCTACTGCGTTCCATTCCACCATTGGCCATATCTCCCACAGATCCGGCATGCCGCAGAACGGATCGGGCAGCTGGCCGCCGCCCAAGTAGTCTAGGTGATGGTCGTACTCGTACGACGACCCGCCGCACGCCGCCGAGCCGTCCTCCGAGACGTCCACCACCGGCACCGCGAGGCAGCTCACGTAGTCCTCCTCCACGAGGCCGCTGCTGCTCGCGTTCATCACGCTATTCCTCTTGTCGTCGTCGTCCCCTTCGGCGCCGCCGCCGTCGCAGCTGCCGCTCTGGTCTTGCCGCTCGTTCAGCTTCCCCCTCAGCTCATCCACCTGCAAGAAGGCAAAGCGCGCATTGTCACCATGCGTGCACGTATGCAGCAGGTATAGCTGATGATTGGTCGGCAATGGCGCACGAACCTGGTCTGCGAGGGCGAGCTTCTCCTGCCTGAGCGACTCGACGCGGGCGTGGAGGGCGTCGTACTGGGCGCGGAGCGCGGCGTAGTCGTGCTCGATCTGCTTGGAGCGCCACCGGGCGCGCTTGTTCTGGAACCAGATGGCCACCTGGCGCGGCTGCAGCCCGAGCTCCCGCGCCAGCTCCGCCTTCTCCCGCGGCTCCAGCTTGGCCCGCCGCGCGTGGAACGTCGTCTCCAGCGACCGCACCTGCTCCTCCGTGAACCGCCGCTTCCTCTCCCCGCCACCGCCGCCGCCGCCGCCGCCGTCGCCGTCGCCGCCTCCTCTCCCAGCGGCGGCCGCGTGGTGATCCGCCGCGGCCACCATCTGCCGCAAGAACTGCGCCTCGTCCACCGCCGCCGCCGCCGTGTCGTAGTACATGTGCGGCTGCGGCGGCGCCACCAAGAACTGGCAGTCGCTCTCCATTTTTCCCAAGCTCCAGGTAGGAGGAGACGTCGTATCGAATATCGATCAGTTCGTCGAATGTAAGACCAGAGCACTAGCAGTCGCAGTAGTGTGTGTGTTCCAGAACAACGGCGCGCGCGGCGACCTTTTATACCGGAGCCGATGCCGACACGTGGCACCACGGTCTCGTGCCCTGGTACGCGTGGGCCCCACCTCGCCTTTTGTCCCGCGCCAGGTGTCCCGCATCGGAGCCCCCACACTCCCCCGGATGGTTATCCGTCTCGCGATCGATTCGAGCTCTCGCCGTACACGTGGCGCGAGCTTGGAGTGTGAGACCTCCTCATCTCCTCTACGCAAAAAAAAAAAAAAAATCAATTCCAAATTGCCAATGTGCAGCAGCCATCAGCCATGGTGCGTAGTAGTATAGGTGGGCAGCGTCCACGTCAACTGGGCCATGCGGCGGAGAGCGTCTCACGGACGGGAAGCCGAGGTGGCAGGGGGTGGCTTGTCACGTTGCAGCGGCTGGGGGGGCTCGCGTGTGAGACTATCTTGCAGGGGTGAGGGCTCCCAACCATCTGGGGGTGTGTGGCCGTGCGAGGGAGGGATGATGAGGCGTCGCTGTACGCTAGCGTTTTTTTCCCGGCTCGGCAGGACAAGCAGAGTATACACGCACTGTACCTTCTCCTAGCTAGGACCGGTCGTCAAAAGTCAGATAAGCTTATCATCCCCGGCGTTACGTGTCCCAGGAGTGACTCCGCGTGGAACAGATGGTCGAATCGCCGCTGCACGCGCCCAGTGAGCTTCTTGGGCAATTTTCACCGTGCAGGTTAGCTGCAGCTAGGAGCTTCTTCGCTTGCTTTAGGAGGTGTTTGGGGGAGAGGGCTCTCTCTAGGGACTTATTTTTTTTAGAGAGGACTAAAGTTTAGTCCCTCTGTCCCAAACATCTTCTTAGTTTACAGTTTTGCAGTTGCTTATCGACAGATATGATTTGGCACACATGTCAGGGCACGATTAGCATGCCAGGTTCTCCTGCACGTGATTCGTTCGGTGGTCGGCTCGGCTGAGATCAGTACCATGTTGTGTCATCTATCCCTCACGTAGGGGGAAACGAACTGATGGCTGCCTTTGCCGTTTCGGCAGCCACAAATCCCCTGGAAACGTAGTCGCAGCCACTAACATCAAACCAAATCACTCTTAACATAAAACTAATGCTACAATACAATACTCTCTTCATGCGTACGTACTCACCGTTTGCTTGCGCGCGCGGCCGAGCCGGCCGCGGAGTCGTCCCGTCCCCGGAGCCGACACGTCAGTGGCTCTCCGAGGTCACAGTTCACAACGACACGCTGATCACCCGATATATTAAGGATGACCTGTCGCCGATAAGCCCGTAGTTAATGGGATAATTGCAGTGATTAGCCAGCCCGTCGTGGCTGGGCGCGCGCAGGGGCGCCGGGCCCGGGTCAGCGTCGCGCTCGCGGTCCTCGTGCGCGGGGTGGTGGGTGGTGGTGCGGTCGCCGCGACGTCGACGGCGTGATGGCGACGTACGCCGCGGCGAGGCCGAGCGAGCCGGCGCGTGTCCGCGCGGACAAAACCGCTTTTGTTTTCGCTCGATCGGCAAAGCTTTCGATCGCCTCGTCGCAACTCGCAATCGCAAGTGCTTTTTTCCGATATGCACTGTGTGTGTTCTTGTGTGTGTTTATCAAGTCGGAGTAGCTAGCAACTTACTTGGCGAGCACTACTACTGGCGGGCGGATGCATGTATGTAGGCATTGGGTTTAGCTTTTGCGAGAGCCTTGCCTTTAGGGGATTGGATTGTTTTTGCGTACGTGTTTTTATCTGTGCGTTCAAAGCCGGGAGAGAGAATTGTTATCTGGTCACTGATAGGACCATGTCGGCAACACGTATCTCGCGGTCGCGGTGCACAGACCTTTTGCTAACTGGAGTGTGACCGTTTATGATTTATGAGTCACTTGGCACTCCTTTCTCGTCTGCAGTTTTTTTTTAAGACACTGATTTGCAGATCTGACATTGGTGATTGATTGATCGCCATGGCATTATGGCACACTACTCTCTTCGTCCCATAAAAACAATCTACTACCACTGGATATGACACATTCTATTAGTACGAATCTGAACATACCTATGTTCAAAATTGTTGTATAAGAATGCATCACATCCAATTCTAGATTCGTTTTCGTGGGACGAAGAAAATTTATAATTAGTTGGGCTGCTCCACATTTAGAGGCTTTTAACTATTTGACACTCTTACAAGTGGTGCTTAACGATTTTCCACTAGACCCACATGTCATAGACACATGAGGGCCCACGTGTCATTGACAGGGTGTGGCAAATCGTTAATTGCCATGTCACAAGAGTGGCAAATAGTTAAATTTCCCCCACATTTACGGTGGGTTCGGGAAGGGGGTTGACCTTCAGTACACAAAAGAAAAAGAAATGTGCATTAGCGAATAATAATTAAGTATTATTTTAAAAATAAAAATAGATTAATATGATTTTTAAAAATAACTTTTCTATAGAAAATTTTTGAGCAAATTTCAGAAAAACTACATGTACTTTTAACAAAACTATCATAAAACTACAAAGAACTATAGATCATTTAAGGTGAAAGATCACTAAACTACAAATTTAGTAATAAAATTATCACTATTGTACATGTTTTGCATCATGTTAAGTACAAAACTACAACATTTATCACTCTAACATAGTAGTAGTGGTAGGGATTTAAGCTATAAAATATATAGTTTTGTGATAACTATAGTATTAAATCTATAGTTTTATCATAGTTGGTCCTAAATTTGTAGTTTTGTGATAAATTTTATGTTAAATATGTAGTTTTGTGAAACAATGCCTTAAAAATGTAGCTTTATGATAATTTCATCAAAATAACTGTAGTTTTGTGAAATTCACTTAAAATTTTTAAAAAGCACATCGTTTAGCAGTTTGAGAACTATGCGCATAAAAGCGAGTGAGGTGTTGTTTAAAAACATTAATTTAAGGACATACTCACTCCGTCTCAAAATAAACCAACCTCGTACCAAATGTGACACATCTTAGTTCGATGAATCTGGACATAAAATGTGATACATTCTAGTACGATGAATCTGGATACACATCTGGTACGAGATTGATTTATTTTAGAACGGAGAGAGTATCCTAGTAGGCAGGAATCTTTTATTCTAGTATGAATGACGTAGTTGTCGATGGGTGATACCTGCAGTCCGTATTATGATGGTATAGGGGTACGTTGGTACGAGGATCTATACGATACGACATCAAGCACACGGGACACAAGGATTATACTGGTTTAGGTCCCTCGTGAGGTAATAGACCTAACCTATTTTATATGGGATTATGGAGAAAACCACGGAGATTACAACAGAGAACACTAGTACCCCGAGATTACCGAAGATCCATGTCGAGAACGGCTCGACGAGATCCACCGGCCAGTTGGCTTCGAATCCTCTGGATTGCTTCTACTATGGCAGGCGTCTTGCGCTAAGATTCGATACCCTGCACCCCTCTAGGGGTCATGTATTTATACCACAGGTTACCTTATTCTCCAAGTAGAATTTGAAGATACATTTTTATGTAAGAAATCATAAATCCCCTATCTTCCCCAAATAGGACCCTAACACCTTTTATTCAGGGAGACGGATTCCTTGCGCATTGGCTATTTTCGTTGATCTGGTGGGCAACCTTCTCGTGTACTTGAGGATATACCGTATTCGTATACCTCACAACCTCAAGAATAGGAGGTATATCTTATACATAACCCTGATAGTAGTACTTACATAATTTTGGACTAGATATTTGTACTAAATATAAAAGATGGTAGTGGGGGTGGTGCTGTCACCATCACTACCACCCAACTATCATGCGAGATCTACGAGTTGTGAGGCAAAAACTTTGCTTGTTTCTGAACCCTCACATGCCATGGACTTCGTCGAAAGAAAAAAAATGATAATATAATATTATGGAGCTTAATATTTTTTGAAATGATAACAAAATTAGCATCATACCAATATATTAGACAAGGAAAAAAAACCTGTTGCAAGCAATATGCTAGTTTTGCAAACTTTGTTTTAGTTGATATTTTTATTAGCGGAAGTTGGGAGGGTCTCCCATCACCTTGTTTAATTTTTACTTCTAATAACTATTTTTAGTTGTGCCCTTTGGTAAAAGCCAGAAATATAATCCATTTTTATTATTAAAAAAATTGGACTGTTCATTTAAGATTTTTTATTTATACATTTTTTTATTAAAATATTTACAAAAATAATTTTTTGTTTCGAAAATTTACAAATCTAATTGCCTGCCGCCCTTAAGAAGGGCGATATTTAAAAATCGCCCTCTCAAAGGGCGGCAAGGGACCTAAATACAAAATTTTTATTTGTGTTCAAACCCTTCCCACCGGTTTTAATTGCTTAAAAACTAATAATGCTTATTCGATACTCCAAATGATTTTAAATGGAAAAGTGATAAACTACAAAGTTATAGATCTCATCAAGATCTACAACTTTATATAAAGTTTATCTCCATCCAATGTCGTTTGAAATGTAGATCTGAGATTTTTTAAAATGTATTTTATATTTTGTAACGAATATTTGGATATCTAAAACATCTTAAATGAAAAAGTTATTAACTACAAAGTCCAATTTTTTTAAAATGGATTATATTTCTGGCTTTTACTTCTTAAATGAAAAAATTGGATGGGCTAGGCTGTTCATTTTGGCCTGTTTGGTAAGCGATCATCCAATTATAGTTTGGGCCTTCAGTCTCACAGCTATTCATTTCGGCCCTTCCCTTGTTACAGGCTCCGCTACCCTCGCATTCTCTCCTCGGAATAAGTCCACTTTGACTCCCTTAAAAGTGACCGGAATCTAATCCATAACCCTAAACCGTAAAACCGGATATCTCGACCCCCGAACTATTGAAACCGGTACAATTTGACTCCCTTGGTGGTTTTAGAGGGTGGTTTCGCTGATGTGGCGGTGTTGACCTAGTCTGTACGTTGACGTGGCGCTTAGGTGGCATTTGAATTAAAAATGTATACGTGGGACCCGTTTGTCATTCACATGCATAAAAAATTGTGAGACTGTTAACAGCGAAATTTGGTAAAGCCCCGAGGTCATCATCGGCCTAGAGCCAGTATCGGCTTCAGAGTTTTGGAATCGGCCGATGGAAGTCATCAAGTCGCCATAGTTGGATTCTTGCTATATTCGGTTAAGGAAATCAATCTATTAAATGAGCTTATCCAGAAGTGACCGAGTTTAAGGAGGATGCAGCATAGCAATTTATCTATTAATTAGGAATAGTCTATTAGTTTTCTTTTTATCTTTAGGAAAGTGTGTTTAGTGTCCGATTAGGACTTTATGTTTTCCTTTTATCTTTAGAAAAGTTTCTTTCTTGTCCTACAAGGACTAGTATCTATCCATGGGTATAAATATGTCAGTGTTGTGGAAAACGGAATACGGGTGTCAGACGGACGAGGTGCCGTCAAGCGATTAATCGAAATACGGATGATTAAACAGAATTGTACGGATTTTTGGCGTTCGCACTAAGATGTACATAATTGATGTTAATGGCAACGGTGGAGACAAAACGCATCATCTTAATAAAAAAGTATTTGTATAAATCTCTAACTATATTTTGAAAATACCATTTATTAGTTCAATAGATATCAATACTGATGGTTAGTACCGCAATAGCATTGGGCTTGTTAGTCAAAATACTGCAGCTGAGCTGCAATTTGCAAGTTTATGTTAGTTCAATAAGCAGACATCTGATTTGATGATAAATAACCCATTAATCATGCCATACTACTGCATAATTACTCTGAAATGGTCATGCAGCTCCGACTTGATGATACGGTACGGTCTGGCTACCGTTTCCGTTTTGACGGCCGATTAAACGGTTGTGCCGGCCGACTTCCACAATACTAAAATATGTACACCCGGGGTCATTGTAATCTATCCTCACGATCAATACAATTCGGCGCATCGCCACCTTTTACCTTTTCTACTTTATTTAATTGATTGGCGGAACTTGGCACCTGACGCGGGGCTGCATCGGTGTTCGATCTCCGGCTAAGGGGTAAGTCCAATGTTCCGTCGGTCCAGGCAATTGTATCGTCTACGTCGGCGTCGTTCAAGGCTGCATCAGGACATTTGACCTCTTGGATTACTCTGGTTTGGATAATATATTTGCCTGGCTATTTATCATATGTCTATGTTAATCTAGTCCTAGCATCTCAATTTAGCTCTATCGGCTGTCTCTCGCTTTAGGGTTTCTGCCAGTATCGGCTAAATCGCCTTGCTAGATTAGATTAGCCTAGGCATCTACCTCCCTGAAAATCAGTCATCGGCTTGATTGTCTAGATATTATGTTTCTTTTCATACTTAGTGTTGCATCAGTTAAGTTTGATCTCCTAAGTCGTGCTTAGAACCATAATCTCTGGCCTGCTTCTTGATTGCCAATAAGGATTTCATCGGGGTTTTAGCCGGTGAGTTATTTGGACGTTGCATCGGCTCAAAAGTATTGCATATACATATAAGTTGGATTTAGCCGATGACAACAAAGGTTTCACTGTTTAATCTAATCTTGTGGATTTCATGACATCAGACCTTCAGCCGATGTATGCTTTAACCTTCGGATCGATGCTTATTTATCATATCATTATTTGCCGATTGGTTTATACTGGATTATATTGTTATTTCATTACATCATCATTAGCCGATTGCCTTTATATCATTATCTACATTGGACATATAGCCGATTGCTTAAACTCTATCGCTATCGGCTGGTATCGGCATCGGCTATTATCGCCTATCGGCTGGAACTACTCCATCGGCTTATCAGCCGATCGGCTGTTTTGATCTACTATTTGCATATCTTGTCAGTTGCAGGATCAAACTGACTGGCACGCCCGCATCTCACTAAGATTTGGACCTGCACATGAGCTAAGCAGATCTCCCAGGCCGATGTGTTCAATTTTTTCGTCAACAGAGATCCACCGACATGTGGGCCCCACGTGTCATCCTCTCTCTCTTTCTTCTTCCTCATCCTCTCTCTCTTTCTTCTTCCTCCCCTCTTCCTCCCTTCTCTCTTTCTTTTTCTCTCTTCTCTCCCCTTCGGCCGGCCGCGGGGAGTACGAGCTGGAGTGGCGGCGGGCAGGGGCCAAAGTGGTGGCGGCCGGCGGAAGTTGAAGCGGCGACGGCGGCGGAACTGCAGCAGTTTGCTCTGGATGAACCTGGCCGACAACCAATTGATCGGCAGGATTCCGCCGGAGATGGCAGAGATAGGGAGAAACCCTGCTCCGACTTTCGAGAAGAATCGGAAGGATGTCAGCGTGCTCGCACGCCTCCCCGCGCACCCCGCCGCCGCATGGGGCAGCTTCCATGCCACACACTCCAGCGCCCGCCCGCCAGCCCTCCCGCCTGCCGCCGCCGCCGCTCCGGCTCCCGCCCACTTTCGCCGCCCCTGCCCGTCGATTGCTCCACGAGAGAGAAGGTGAAGAGAAAAGGGGGAGACATCAGCTAAGACACCGATTCCACAAATCCCTCGTGGCCGTGATCTGTTCAAGGATTCACAGCTTCTCTTACGCGTCGTCTTGCTGTCCGGCGCCGCGAAGGGTACATGACTTACAGTCATGGCGGCAGCGGCGCGCTGCTTTGTCACCCTCCCCGCCTTCTGTTTCTTGGGTCAGTTACTCTGAATCTCTGATCAAGATTGTCTTTGTCGACAACACATACTACGTCTTGCTATAACTTGCTTTGATCCTTTACATTGATGGAACAGCGCCGGCGGCGTTGATGTTGGGGTACTACTACGGCTCGCCGGAGCTAGTCGTCGTCGGCTCAGGTTGCTCGAGGCTCGTGGAGACGAACCCGTTCATTGTGCAGGACATCAAGGTGATCATCCTCCCGTAGCTCGGTTCTGCACAAGCTCAGTCAGGAAGAGTGTTTTAATGTGTGCACTCGCTCTTGCAGGCGAGGACGGAGGGAGGGTCGCTGGAGAATGGGTTGGTGCTCTACGGGATGTCGGTCGCTCCGCCTCTCGGCATCCCAGCCGCTTGGTTGGAGGCTCGCCGCGCCGTCGTACCAGCCAATTCCCACATGTCAATTTTTTTTTGTGAATCACATATGAGTCCTACATATATTTTTTAAAATTCTAATACCACGTAAGCGCCATGTGGGACGAAAAGTATGTCAACATTACCACGTCAGCGCCACATCAGCAAAACCACCCTCCAAAACCGCTGAGGGAGTCAAATTACACTAGTTTCAATAGTTTGGGGAGTCGTCTTATCCGGTTTTACGGTCGAAGGTTACGGATTAGATTCGGATCACTTTTAAGGGAGTCAAAATGGACTTATTCCTCACTCTCCTCTTGTGTTTCGACGACAAACCGGCCCAGAGACATGCGTGGAGTTCCGCTGAAAAAATATTAAAATAAAAAACTGGCACACCAACATCAACACGAGAGCTGTCTGATGCAACAAATAACTGCAGAGAGGAGAAAAAAAAAGGCTGAGCTGCCAAGAAAGAAAACAACCGAACAGCAAATCACCACTTGCACCTATCTTCGTTTTCTTCAGAATCACACTGAGGCTGAGTTCGGATGGGGGAGATGGGAACCTAACTCTTGCGCACGGAAAATGGAGCGGTCCATTAACACGTGATTAATTAAGTATTAGCTAATTTTTTTAAAAAAATAGATTAATTTGATTTTTTAAAGTAACTTTCTTATATAAACTTTTTTTTGCAAAAAACACACCGTTTAGCAGTTTGAAAAGCGTGCGCGTGGAAAACGAGGGAGAGGGGACGGGAAAAGGTGCATGTGAACACAGCCTGAGTGAAGCTACTGCCAACGCTTGTTTCTATTCATATCGTTCATGTTCTACATGACGCCACTACATATACACCTTCAGCTAATTCTGAGTTCTGACTGTAGATCAAACATGGTCATGGACCATATGGTTTCTGGCTTTCAACCCTCCTGGTCGACCAGGATACCGATCACTAGTGATCAGGGCATACAGTTAATAACTTTGTCATCAACACCAGCAGCTGATTTCAACATCACCGGCAGAACAGTCGTCAGCTTGGCTTCTGGCAGTAGCCATCTTCCCATGGAAAAAGCAGTGGGCCTGAACCTGAATCTCCCATCGGCACAAGCGACGGGCTAGCCAAAGTAGAGCAGCATCAGATAAGCACAAACTAGTCAGGCACATATCTATTCCAAAAGGTTCTTCATATTCTCCATTCCCCGGCCCCTCCCCAAAGCACAGGAACACTACAGTATTGGCCAGAGAGGCTTGCAGCAGGTACTGCTGAAATGAAAGCCTGAAAGGGACACAAACAAATTTTCTCAAGGGCTGCAAGGAGCTGTCAGCTGTGTGCCTGTGTACCTGTAGGAATTCCTTGGATTTTTTTTAAGAATTACACGGTACAATACAGACACTCACCCCTATGAGCGCATGTACGCATACTCTATTCCTATGATCATCTTCGAAGACTGAGCCGGTAAATCCTGGAGATCGACGAAGTCACCACAGACGTTTCGCTGTCAATGGGTACGTTGAACCTGCTGCTTCTTGGTGCACCCTAATACGTACTCAAGAATACTGTACAAGACTGAAATATTAAAGGACAGAATGAAAATTGTTTCTTTTATGCGGTACAGTAGCATTGATTCTGCTTGTACGTGTAAGAAGACATTGCCGTGTCGTGAAAATCAAGTATGTCACGCTCTTCGTACATGTCGTATGCCGTTCGGTTCGCATACACAAAAAACTTCTACTGCGTACTTTTTATTGCAGATAAGATTGGACATTGCATATTCGGTGATATGCTAGTGTCATCTCATCACTCGTCATATCATGTTCTTTGCCTTTGTTTCACTGATCATATATCATGTTCTAAAAAAAAACATCATGTTTATACCAACAATCTGCCCAACCCCGCACGAGAGATCAAGAAAGAGAGAACACCCTTGTAACCACTTTTAAGGGCTCGTTCGGATTATAGAATATAAAAAACATACGATAGAATAAGTATAGGAATAGAATAGGAATCTAAACGTAAAAGAAAGAAATGGAAAAACAAATGAATAAAAGAGTTGAGGACATTTGGACCACGGAAAGTTGATTGCTTAGGATTTGTATGTATGAAGGAAAAAAAAAGAGTTTGAGGTCGTTTGATTTTTCATGTACTTTTCTTATGAAATCAGCATCAAAGGCCAAGTTTAGTTACCAACTTTTTCTTCAAACTTTTAACTTTTCCATCACATCAAAACTTTCCTACACACATAAACTTTCAACTTTTTTCTTCCAACTTCCAATGTTAGTCAAACTTCTAATTTTGACGTGGAGCTAAACACAGCCAAAGAAACTTTTCTTTGGATTTCCTATAACCATTTTTCATGATTCGAACGATAGGAAATGATGAAAAAAATCCCATGCTAGTGTTCATCCGAAAATCATGTGAAGATTCTCTAATCCGAATAAGCCCGCCTGGTGAAGTAAGCTATCTAAATGTTCTTAAGGCACAGGTATTAAAGCTACTGCATTTTCTGAACTAAAGATGATTTCTGAATCTACGTACTTGCAGTTAGCTCAGTGGTGTGGATACAATTCCCTCACTTTATTTATGTTCTTTGGACCCATCCTACCAATGTGTGTCCATAAACTGGCATAAATAGGGGAAGACATTGAATAGAGCTTGCATCTTTCTTTCCATCAAGTACTTCACATATGAAGGACAACATGAACCATCGCTATGCTTAGCTCATTCGGTTTTGGTGCACCCAACTATTTCTTGCCCCAAGTTACTTCGCACAAGACAATTACAGCATAATTCCAATGGCGTGCACTTGTCTGTCAAGCTAAACTGCTTACAAATTACTGTTAGTTGCCAGTGCTATATTGCACCCCAAAACAATTAAAATGTCTTTCATTTCGAATATAATGAATGAAAGTTGCAAGTTGGTATTCCAATATGGACAGTAACGCGCCGTTTCAGATGACTCATTACACATGCAAGATGCAAAGATGTTCCATAAGAAACGAACTGTATATATGCAACACATTATCATGGCTAACTATTCGAAGTCTATATCTTTGAAGTCTTATTTGTACTGATAGGAACATTTTCCTCAGTTTTGCTACTCCTATTTCACAACATAAAAGTATACTTGATGATGTTTTCTTCCAATGAACCGACACTTAGACAATATGAAGTTTCATTGGATGTAACAAGAAAAAAAAATTACAGAACTACAACTAGGAGGTTATAGTCCAGAAAAGAAAAAAAAAACACCTCCACTACGCACTGACGCCTTCCCACACTACTGAGAAAAGGGCTAGTATAGTAACAAACCGACTACCGCTAAGAATGGTTGATCAATGCTAGACCAACAAGAAGCTACAGCTGTACCCCATAACGCCTAAAAGTAAACTTGATTAACTTGTTAACAATATGCAGTACAAACATACGTACCTTCGTTGTCTTGTAGTTTTTTTTTCTATGACAGCTATAAATAGGTCATGACGAGACAAATCTTACAGGCATGTACTGATCATGCACTTCTGGCAATTCAGACATAATCGTGAACAGTAAACCTGTGACATCTGTTATATACATATATGAAACCACGCCATTGCTTGTCTCCTCTTCCTAGAAAAATTCACCATTACCTGCCATATGACACATGAATTGGTTCTATCCCGACCCCGAAACAAACACAAGACCTGTGAAAGAGGAGTACTCCCAGCTAGCACTGCCTACTTTTACTAGTGTACTACACGAAGTAGAAAAAAAAAGATAGATTAATTGTATGCCAGCTCAGGATCCTCATTTCCACATTGGTGGATTAATTATTAGCAACTATACATATAGCTCCAATGCAACATTGTGAGAACACCGAATTTATATTAATTAGCCTGCCAGGTTATATTCATGTTGAGTATACTTAGCTCAATGCTCATCAGAACATATATATCTCAGTAAATGATTATATGTATATACGCATGAAGGTTCCATCATAATGCACACTATCTTCTATATATGCAGAATCCTAGGCTACCTCCTAGATAGCTAAAGAATATAAATTACTTGTACATTGAGGATTCAGCTTGTGTTACACTGCTAGCTATTCAGAAAGCAGCATTAACATTTGGTCCCTAGCTTTTTTTGTCTCCAATCACCGTGGTATACATTCATAGAATGTTTCAGAACTTGATTGGAATAGCACATGCAAGGAGATAAAATTGCAAACTTACCGCTGTCTACTCGCTAGACAAGATGATCAGTCGCATGTGTCCTGTATTAATGGATGAAGAAACAAAAGGGAGAAGACAACTACCAAAACGAATGAACAAATATAGATCATGGATGGTATTTATGATATTACCTGTAATGCTTTATAGCATTTGTCCTTCTGAATTGAAAGAACAAATCTGCACAGATAATATATATAGACAGAGGTTTTATGTGCATCAAGGAAGAAATTAAATGTATGAGTAAAAGCTGTATATGTTCCTCATGAACTTCTTCCACACTTGAACAATAAACACATCAAAAACTTCTCTGAAATCACGAGTTAATACCTTGAGAGTTTCGCTTGTGCGTCGTATATGTAAACTTAGGGAACAAGAAACAGTTGTTAGATCAACAATTTATCAAAAGTAGTACTTTTGATAACTGTACGTGTCTATGATACAACTACATACAGTACAATTGAATGAAACATATTAAACTGTACATATAGTTTGACCAACGAAATCAATAGGTGGATGCAAAGTGATGGAATCAAAGGAAGATAGTAAGTCCCCTCCATGTAAAAAGCAAACTTTTCCCCTTTGTTTCTCCTACCAGATTAGATATCATATCAAAAAGCAAACAGGAATTAAAGAGAGACCGCAACTACAAGATAGATGCCCATATTTTAGAGAAGAAAAAGGAGAAAGCTTTCAGGCATCTGTGTGTCAAAAAGTTCATGATTACACCAATCTGCATGCCATACTACACGAAAACCAACACAAGGAGCGAGAAATTCGCCGGGATAATCATACCCTAATGATTCCTGCGCACGCCCAAACCAAGAAATCGCCCAAGAAAAGAATCGTTTGATGTCCAATCAGAGACTCACCAAAATCTCGGGTATGCATGCGGTCCAAGAACCGCGGAGATCGATCGATCGATCGACGAGACATAAATAAATATGGGAGCTTTACTTGAGGGGAATGAAGCCTGGTCCGAGATCAGTCTCTACAGATCAAACCTGATCGATCAGAGGTTTCTCCATGCACCTCGAGCCAGACAACATTCCCCTCAAAGTGAAAAAGCTTCCTCTCTCTTTCTCTTCCTTGTTTCTTTCTCCCTTTTTGCAGTGATTCTTTCTCTCATCCTTCTCCTGTTCCTCTCCCTTGTTTCAAGGGGGGAGAGAACTCCAGGGATGGGGAGGACGATGACGGTCTGTTTGGTATCTTAAAGAGGTAGAGAGATAGAGAGAGAGAGAGAGGAGAGAGAAAAGGCGGAGAGAACAGAGAAGATTGGGGTTATCATAGGTGAAATCATTGCATTTTTTTGAGGTCATATTTGGGATGGGCAACAGATTCACAGGGGGAAAAAGTTGATGAAACACACATCTTCAACTGATGACGTACTACGTAGCTGTACAGGGACGCAAGTACTGACACAGTTAAGTGTACTGAAAA